TCCCCCCTTCCTACCTTTCCCACTCCCTAACTTCCCCCCTTCCTACCCCATCGGAAGTGTGTTTGTAGTTCCTCTCTTGTTTTTAATGGAATCCTTCGTCTGAGAATAGATGATCTTCTTTACAGATATTTAAAACACACATCGTTGCATTTGAATCACAGCAAATCTGAAATCGGGTAGCGTATTCCAGGGGGGGCGGGGCATTATTTTCTTGCTCCCCTCCTTCCCTTTTGGCTGAAATCCTAAATCTAACATAAAAACACGCTCGCAATCATTATTTTCTCATCGTACATGCAATGCAATGGTTAAATGAAAGAATTTTTTTGAACAAACGAAAAACTTGCATAAGTCTGTTTAAATGGATTCAAGACTTAGCTATTTTGAGATGAATTTAAGTTTTAATTCTATAATTAACTTTTTTTATGGCCCCTCTTTTCTATGGCCTCTCCCCCCTCCTCCAAATTTGCGTTTCTTGTCGATATTTTCTTAATCACTAATTTTAATTTTTTTCTACCACGAGTTAAAATTAAAAATAATTTAATTCTTATGTCAGATAAAATATTTGATGATACATTTTTTATTTCTCTTAAAGGGAGTGTTTGCGAAAAAATGAAAGGGGGTATAGGCTCATGTCGAATTTAATTCGATCTTGATCGCTACCAATTTTACTTGTATCTAGAGAAGAGAGATGAATAATTCAATTAAATTTAAAACTACTCATTCAGATATTATAACCTACAATTGAGAATTCAAGTCGATGTATTCGTATATAAGTATAATTGAAATATCTTAATATTTTTCATTTTTTATGATCCGAAAGTTACTTATAAAAACATTCATTCTTGTTTCGAGGATTTTTGATAATAAAGACGACATTTTTATATTTTCCAGGAATTTTCAAAAACCACGCGCCAGCCGTAAAAACAAGTTGTAAGGGAAATAAAAGAATACAAAATAAAATTTATTATGAAATATGAACTTTATATGAATGCATCGAATTGCAACCGACAATTGTATGTTGTAATAAATGAATGAATAGTTTTCAATTAAATTGAATTATTTACGATCTGAGCGAATTAACTCCCTGGAGTTTTTCCTTATTGACGCAACAGATTAGCAGCGATCGATATCGAATTATATTCTTTTATTTTTCGCAAACACTCCCTTTAACGTTTTTTTCCTGTTCTGGTTGCAAATCAGTCTCTTTTCCCTTTCCTTCTGCGCTGTCCTCTTATTTCATCGTTATCTTCTTTTGATCTACTTCTGTTATTCTTTAACTTTTTATCTACTTCTGTTATTCTTTAACTTTTTATCTACTTCTGTTATTCTTTAACTTTTTATCTTTTCAATTATGATTCCTCTCCTTTCCGTCTTTAGACTCTTTCCCTTTTGAAGTTGGATTTGAAAGACATCTAAGGATTATTGAATTTATTCAATATTCCAGGGCGGGGAGTGAAAAACAAGAAAAGTATCAAATTTAACATGTTTATTTTTTCTTTTTTCCAAGCTCTATGACGTAATATATACTCAAATATATAGTTCTAAATCAACTTTAATCAATTTTTGTCCCCTCCCTTCTCATCCTCCCTCATCTCTCAAACCTTATACATACATATATATATGTTCTTATAGCTTGTAATATATATGTAACTAAATATAAGCAACAATTGGTGCTCTCTCTACGGACCTCGGTTTGCTGACGTCACAGAGCTCTCTCTCCTCTCTCTCCAAACCTCTCGGTAGAGCCAGGTTTTCTCCAGCTTGCAACGGTATGTTGAAGTTGATACTACTTTTGATAGCTGTTGCTGTTGCTATTGGAGATGTTGAGTTTGTTCATCACAACAACACGATGCTTGCATCTGTCCTGCAGAAGGTTAGTTTGGATTGTATCCGTCTCTCAGTGCTCTAGGTGGGACCAGAGACTAGAGGATGAGTTTGTTTACACTTAACCCAGAACCAAACAGCTGTCCATGAATTACAAAGGTTTAAAATAAATTTTAAGTTTACAGTCAACCCTGTTCTCGTTTATTATCTCAAAAACAAGCTTATTGTGCGTTTGTGGCACAGCAATTTGAGATGAAATCTTTAATTTACATTGAAAAATATATATTTTGGTTCTTAAAGGAATTGAGTCTTTGCCACAAACTCTGATTTTCTAATCCCTATATCCTTGCAACCCAATGTCGTAGACCTTAGATATTTTAAAATTACACATTTGGTTAGATAAAAAAAAGTCCAAGCTTGACATATTAAAGATTTATACCACTAATGTATACAGCTGTCGGTGGGTTCTGGTTCAAATAAACTTGTGTTTAATTTTCATTTTGTACAGAGAGGAAGGGGTAGATGAGACGAAGACAATTGAAGAAATGAACTGCTGACCCCCCTTTCATTATAAAAAAAATTAGATTAAGCTTTAATAAATTCTTCTGTTTCTAGATTCACAACACGTGTCCGGACGTATCCCGTCTCTACACCCTGTCTGAGCCTAGTGTACGAGGAGTTCCCTTGTACGTCCTCGAGTTCTCCGATATGCCGGGGAAACACGAGCTCCTGGAACCAGAGATGAAGTATATCGCGAACATGCACGGAAACGAGGTAGGGCACGTCCTCTCTGTATCTCCTGTACAGTCCCTTTATGGTAAATCAAAGATAAAAGAAATCCCAGTTTTGATGTTTAAACTTTGGCTGTTTAGTGAATATGATATCCTTGAATAATATCATGATTTAGTGGTTTTTAAATTTCTTTTTCAACTTTTTTTAGCAGTATGACCTATTTCCTACAATCTACCTTTCTCACTACCTATTCTACTAAGCTTCTCTTTTACCTACTAATCCTACCAATCTACCTTTCTATCTACCAACCCTACCAATCTACCTGTCTATTTACATATCCTACTAATCTACCTTTTTACCTACCTATCCTGCTAATCCTCCTTTATAACTTCCTACCTAATCTACCAATCTATACCTTTCTATCTACCTATCCTACTAATCTACCTTTCTACCTACCTAGTACCTATCCTACCGATCTAGTATCTATATCTACTAAAGAGCATGGTTTTGAGGCACGTTTTTAAACATTTAAAATTTTTAGGCTTTATAAAAGCTTCACAAGAGTCTGAGTTGTAAATTCTATTTCAAAATTGCATTCTAGACAAGTATTCTTTTATTACACGAAGCAACATTTTGCTCTGATCAAAGATTTTAACCAAAACGATTTTTCAAAACGAAAAACGGAAAACGATTTCTCTTCTTTTTGAAAAATCGTTCTGGTTAATATCTTTAATCAGAGAAAAATTTTAGGTGTGTGTAATTAAAGAAAACTTGTCTAGCCTATAATTTTGAATAGGATTTGTAACTTAGATTCTTGCGAAGCCTTAAAAAAACACTTCAGTACCTACATCCAATCTCTAGGTACTGGGACGTGAGCTGCTTCTCCATCTAGCAGATCATCTTTGCTCCGGGTACTTGAAGGGGGACAAGGAGATAATCAACCTGATTCACTCAACCAGGATACATCTTCTCCCCAGTATGAACCCTGATGGTTGGCAGATAGCTACAGATAATGTGAGTAATAGCGCATTTTGTTTTGTATTTAAAAACTAAATAAGGCGAGAACCTTTTCTAGGCCTACAGTAGTCAGCTTTTATGCCAATACAATGAAGACGACTGTTATATTTAAGTTTTTATTTCTAACAAGATTTTTTCAAATTACAAGTTTACAAGTGAGCTAAAAGAAGCTGTTTCAAAGCTTGGTAGATATCAAAGATTAAAATTGAAAGTCGTCTTCATTGTATTAACATATACGACGATGACTGCATCTTCAAAGTTTCTCTCTTTTGTGCTTCTTTTAACATAAACAAACTACATTATTATTCTTACGAGACTTTATAATAAACCATGCAAAATAACTGATTACTTGCCTTAAACTCTAGTTTTGTATTATTTCAAACTTCAGTGATCAGTTTCTTTCGATTTGGTTTGGAGAAGAATATATCCAAACCTGACGTCAATGGACTGTGTACTAATGACGTCATATATCTTCTCTTGATTACATCTCACTACTCCCTCTATTTAGGGTGCTAAGGATTATATAGTTGGGAGAACTAATGCTAACGATGTTGATCTTAACCGAGACTTCCCTGATCTTGATAATCTAGTGTATAGAGGAGCAGAGGATAATCATCATCTCATGAAGGTTGGATGCTTTGAAACACATTTTTATTATTGAAAATATATAATTCTGAAGGTTAGGAGAAAAGAATGCAATTGAACTTATATATAAAAATATGATAATAATGATAAGTATGATGATAATAATTATAATAATAATAATGATAATAATAATAACAATAATAATGATCATGATAATGATTCATAATAATGATCATAATAATGATTATGATAATGATAATACCTTGTTGCANCTTATTATCTATTTCTTCCTAATCAATCCTTTATTATTATCTATTTCTTCCTAACCAATCCTTTCTTATTATCTATTTCTTCCTAATCAATCCTTTCAATTATGAATTCCTTTCAAAGCCATCCGTTCCTTTCTCATTATCCATTCCCTTCTCCTTAAATATTTATCATGTTATTCATTCCTTTCCAATTTATCCTTTCTCATTATCCATTCCTTTCTCCTTAAACATACCATTCCAACTAATCCTTTCTCAGTATCCATTTATTTTTAACCCATCCTTTCCTCTCATTTCTCTTCCATTTTGCCTAATTAGAAACCAACTTGAATATTAATGAAGCCCAGGAAAACTTGAAGCTTATTAAAAATTCTTTCTTAAATCTGCAAGAAAACCCTAAATGTGTATTGACTAAGAACCAAACATAAACAAAACTTTATCCAGTGTGTTTCCTAGTTACTGTCTCAAAGTAAGCATAGGTATATGAGCCCTGAGCTATCTACAGTGATGTTCTAAATAAGCCGGTGTCATGCCTGGAGAGAACTCGTACCTGCAGCGAACTCTGGTTATCCTACGCGGCAAAGCGCAAGTTTCTAGAAATATAAACAAACAATAATAATTTAATTTATTTGAGTTTACGGACAATTTTCCGTAATATACCAATAGGTATATGCTAATATACCTATTGCTAATATTTGCTAATATTTCTTATATCTATGTATCTACTAATATATCTGGTATCTAGGTATTTACTAATATATCTGGTATCTAGGTATCTACTAATATATCTGGTATCTAGGTATCTGCTAATATATCTGGTATCTAAGTATCTGCTAATATATCTGGTATCTAGGTATCTGCTAATATATCTGGTATCTAGGTATCTACTAATATATCTGGTATCTAGGTATCTGATAATATATCTGGCATCTAGGTATCTGCTAATATGCATGGTGGAGATCTGGTCGCTAACTATCCCTATGATGAGAGCAGAGGGAACTCCCAGTCTGAGTACAGTTCAAGTCCTGATGATACGACATTTAGAGAACTAGCTCTAGTTTATGCTCAGAACCATCCCAGGTTTAAATATATATTTTATAATATTGTATATGAATAAAAATCGATAAAGCAATGCACTGAGTTTCTCAAATATTCTACGAGTCGGTTTTTCTTACAATATATTTATATACAAAAGATACAAAAAATACAAACTTTAAATCGAACGATACTTATACAAACTAAATATTATGAATCAAATCAGTTTCATCAAATAGGNTTTTCAGAATTAGTTTTTTAAAATTATTAAATAAGGACAACATAAAATGTAAAAATAAGTTCTACAATAAACTGAACTACAGACGTCATGTATAAGAACAGGTTGAGAAAATAAAAATTTATCTTATAATCGAAGATAAGTAATCTTGTTTAATTATTAGTTTCTATTTTCTCAATATTCTGGTTTCTCATTATTCAAAAAGATTTTCGCAGATTTTCGAGAATTATTATTAAAAAGACGACATTTAAAGAATTTGAAGAATTCTGCGAATAAATTCAAAAAAAGATAAGAAATTCAATATAATAATGAAAACGAAATAATCGATTTTAGCATTGATTTATTGACAAATTTCTTTTGAGAAATATGTTCCTAACCATCTAATTAGATTGCTGTATAATTTTTACTTTATTTTTCGTTGAACTGCACACTCAGTTCAACTACCTTACATAGCCGATCACTCCCTTTAACGACGCTATATTAATGAAAAATTTTGAGATCTTACCAAAACATATTGATTTTTTTTCTAGAGAAACATTTAAAAACTGTTTGATGTAGGTATTCAGTGCCGGGAGGTATGCAGGATTTCAACTACTTGGCCTCCAACGATTTTGAAATCACTCTTGAACTGGGATGCGAGAAATATCCATCAGCTGACAGGTTGGTCTGCGCGCAATGCTCCCCCAATTTCGATCAAATTCAATTTATTCGAGATGAAAACCTTCAACGACGCAATAAAGAAAACAAATTTTATTTCTATAAATAAAAAGCTTTATAAATAAAAACATAAGTAGGCTCTATTAACATTTTCCTCAATAACAAGTTTCTATGTAAAAATAGAAGAAAATAACCCCTAAAAATGAAAATTATATTTATAACTTAAATACTGGTATTAAACCATATCAAATATTGGTAAATATGGTTCCAATAAAGTGGATATTTCAAGCTTATCTTCTTGTTCTAACAGAATCCTAGTTTTAAGAGGAAAATTTGTATTTTCTGTAATATCTGCTGAATCCTATCTAGTAAATGGAACAGGACCCCGGAGATAGGTTTAACCTGGAATATTATAGAGATACATAAACGATGCTATCCCCCCCCTGACAGTTTGACACATAAATTTATAAATTAGGAAGACGACTGTAAGATTCAAGGTATGATTTCAAATCCAATGAATATGAAACACTGCAAACACAGCAATTGTGCAGTGTTCACATCAGACATTTTACTTAAAAAGTTGATTTATAGATTTTCAAGTTTAGTTTACAAATATTCGCTTCTGAAAAACATCAAATGTTCATGAGATTGCTTAAATGTCGTTTTCATATTCCACAGTTTTATAAGTCTCACTGTATGTAGTTTCAACGATTTTAAAGATTTTCTTAAAAGCGTTTCGTGGATTTTTAAAAGGTCAATATTACTACATTTTTATTGTTACAGCTACAACAATGAAAATCCATTTACCAGTGTTAGGGATATCTAAGAGATTATTTTTTACGCACTTCTTATATTTTGTACTGTATTTTAGCCTGCAGGGTGAGTGGGAAGATAATAAAAAATCTCTAATTGAGTTTATCTGGACTGCGCACTCAGGTCTGAAAGGAATGGTAAGTTGGAATTAAAGTTGTTTATTTTAGTTTTTAGGTAAATTGATTAAAAAAGAAGATTAATTAAGTTAATTAAGAGATATTTCATTAAATAATATGAAAGAAATATAAAAATATTACAAAGTAAGACCAGGTATACAGAAAGGAATTGAGTCTTTGCCACAAACTCTGATTTTCTCATTCCTATATCTTTGCAACCAAAGTCGCAGACCTTCAAACTATAAATTTTGTGAGATCTTATAATTTAAGTTTTAAATATCAAAGGTTTTCGCCCACAGGTTGGTAAGATATAGGGATTAGAAAATGTTTGCTTGTGGCAAATACTCAATAACTTTGTCCAGGTGAGGGAGTATATGGAAGAAGACATTCAAAACTATTCACCAAAATGTTATGTTTCGTGGGACACCCTGTAGGTAATTTTTAAGTAAAGGGAAAAAAATAAAACGCCTTTTTAAAGCTCTAAATTTTCTAAACAGTTTTAAAATTTATTCCTTCTAGATCACCGATGCGGAGACTAAGAAGGGTATCCGAGGCGCTGTCATCCACACCCGTAATATCACTAGAATAGACAGGTTCAAGCGGCGCAACGACGACATTGATCATGACGTCACGTCAGGTAATTTTTTTAAATAGTTTGCCAAGTTTACTTGGACACCTTGTCGAAAACAAAAATTAAAAGTGAAATTTTATTTCTTTATTTGGAAACTGTTTAAGATATGTTTGGAATATATTGAGTGGGTTTTTACTGCAAAACCTATTTAGATGTATTCGCTCTCTTGGTTTGTATTGTATGGGTCCAATATATGACAAACGGCTGAACCGATCAGATTCAGCTTCAAACTGGTTGAACATTACATGACCATCCCAGAATTTACCATTGCTTGATGTGTTTGGTTTCTTAACAATTTTAGTTTAATCGCGTTTTGTTTTTAAATTCTTTTTATATATATATTTAAACTCTTATATACTTGTCTTTTCTACTTTTTTATTCAAAGACGCATCTTCAAACAAAAAATAATGAGAGAGAACAAGCTAAAAATTTTAACTTTAATATGCCAAATTTTGGAGACAAGGACTGAACTGATGAATCAGTGGGTGACAACCAGGACGGTTTAAAGCCGATCAGATATTAAATCAAAAAACTTCAATTAAAATTGTGTTTGTTGTAAATTTACCAATAATTACACGCAAATCTGCAAAATGTTTCGTTTAAATTGTGCGCAGAAAAAAAGCTCGTACGGTGATAACCAGAAAACTCTGGAACAGGGAGACGACTTTCAGACTCAAGTAATGACTCTTAATAGTGCAATGAACATGAGACAATACAATTGTGCGGTGTAAATGGCCCAAATGACTTAAAAACCGATTTTATAATTTACTCGAAAAACTTTTTACTTTGTTACTGCATCAAATCCTATTCATTATTGCTTTAATGTCGTCTTCCTATTCTACAGTTTTCTGGATCTCACTGTATATAATTCGTCACTAAATTCCCATGTTTTTTGGGACACTCTGTATATAATTCTTCAGATGTGAAAATATCATTTATTCTGTTATATTGCATAGAAAAACAATACAGGACAGTTTCAGCATGTTTTACTACCATTATACCACTCCATATTTACATAAACATAACAAACAAACATATTTTATCCGGAACAGGGTGGCAAAGTTATACAATAGTTTCATATAATACATGAAATAGTGGTAAAGTTTGATTTTGTACTTTGATTGAGAAAGTCGTCTTTTATTTGATGGTGATGACGACATTCGAGCAGTTAAGTTTTTATTTCTCTTGTAATCTTTAAGTGACGTACGTAAAGAAACTAAATGAATTATAATGTTGGAGGTTGGCAAGTATAGAGAATATATTATTTTATGTATTCATATATTCATAACTGTAGAATACATTTATTTATTTATTCTACCGGATAATGTTAGTCATTAAGAAAATAAATTTTTGGTAATTTTTTTATCTTGTATAAGTAATATTTAGTTTCAAGATTAAACAATGAGTATGGATGACTGATGATATATGCTTAAAGGAACTGTAAGCGTAAATTTTGATGGACTTGCATGTCCGATTCACAACGGTAGCCTTAAAAGTTTTTTTCTGATCGAGAATGATATCTGTTTTTTTTGTTTATTTTCATTTGTGGTTTCTCTGCTAAGGTAACTTCAAGACTTAATAATAATTCTAGCTTTAGAAACATTGGAGAAACTATCAATTTTTAACTTTTTTTCAAGCTAGAAGACGACAATATCTTCCATATTGTTGATCAAATTAAGGTTTCAATAGTACCGTTGTGAATCCATATTTTAATTGACAGTCACATGAAACAGTCCCTTGAACTAGAAAATATTTAAAACTGGATGAGCAATGAGATAAACTGTGTTTGTCAACAAACCCCACAGAAAACTTCTCGACAAAATGATCACGATATACTTGGGAGGAAGTTAGATTTTTGGAAATATCAGTGTATACAAATTTAAAAAATAATTTCTAATTTCTAATTAATTTTATGTTTTTCAGCTCGTGGGGGAGATTATTGGAGACTTATTGCACCAGGAGAATATGAAGTATTATTATTATTATTATTATTATTATTATTANTTGTTTGCTTGTTTGTATTAAAAAACATATTTGTTTGCTTGTTTGTATTAAAAAACATATTTGTTTGCTTGTTTGTATTAAAAAACATATTTGTTTGCTTGTTTGTATTAAAAAACATATTTGTTTGCTTGTTTGTATTAAAAAACATATTTGTTTGCTTGTTTGTATTAAAAAACATATTTGTTTGCTTGTTTGTATTAAAAAACATATTTGTTTGCTTGTTTGTATTAAAAAACATATTTGTTTGCTTGTTTGTATTAAAAAACATATTTGTTTGCTTGTTTGTATTAAAAAACATATTTGTTTGCTTGTTTGTATTAAAAAACATATTTGTTTGCTTGTTTGTATTAAAAAACATATTTGTTTGCTTGTTTGTATTAAAAAACATATTTGTTTGCTTGTTTGTATTAAAAAACATATTTGTTTGCTTGTTTGTATTAAAAAACATATTTGTTTGCTTGTTTGTATTAAAAAACATATTTGTTTGCTTGATTTCTATTAATATGTTTATTATTATATAGATAATAGTGCAAGCTGAGGGGTATTCTCCACAAGCTAAACTAGTTTCTGTTCCTGAGCTCAGGCACCAAGAAGGTATACACTGAACTTTCGAAAACCGGTTCTTCATGTTTACAAAAATATATATTTTAGCGGTAAGACTTGATTTTAGCCTGGTTCCATTACCCCAGCAGGAGTATTCCTATGATGAACCTCTAAACCTTCCTGTTCAGGTCAGCCACGTCAAACTAAACTAAATTGCACCATAGTTTAAAATATTACATGTTGTCAATCAGTTGCCTAATCCCGATGTTAGATCTAAATATGAAAGGTTTAAACTATTAGGTTGCAAAGATATATGTATTAGAACATTTAATGTTGTAGCAAAGACCAAATTCATTTGTAAAGTTTTACTGTGACGGCTTTGTGACATAGCAGCTCCACTAGTTTTGATTTTTAGCCCATTAGTGAAGAAAGCTAAGTAACTGAACACTTGCAGCCAACTTTTTCAATTTTTTATTTGATTGCATATAAAATATTAAAAAAGCTCTTTAAAAAGAGTATAGTTTTGAACTAATAATTTAGAATATGAAAAATCTCCATCTAACGTGAAATTTATTTTGAATTGTCGTGGTCTGTGAATATTGATAATAATATGAAAATAAAATAAAATCATTTTCCACATAAGCCTAATAAACTTAAATATCTTTTCTCCAGCCAGCTAAATAATATTCAAAGAAGACTGCATACAATACAATAATACAAATTATATTCCAGCAATATCCATAAATATGCATATTATATTTTTACATCCACATTATACAGATTTATAAATGTAAGTATAAAAGGGTCCATATATATAATCCCAAAGGGATGAAATAAGGCTATAAAATAAGGGACTTTAAGTCATTCTTTTTTATAACAATCACAATTTTATAACGTAGACAATCCATTCATGAAATGTAAATAAAGAAATTGAGTTCTTGCCACAAACTCTGATTTTCAAACTTGTATCCTTGCAACCCAATGTCGTAGACTTTAGATATCTCAAACTATGAATTCTGTTGGAGCAAATAATCTAAGTTCGAAATATCAAAGGACTACTTCATCAGGTTTCAAGATTTGTTTTTCAATAACATTTATAGCAAAAGAGCGGATTAAAAAAATCTTCACCCCCCCATACCAATATTAATTAACATTTGTTTAGAATGAGGAGGCGTATAACTACCAAGGGGAGTATAACTCGGACTACTACAGCCCTCAGTAAACAAAAAATGTTTTGTCACTATCATCGTCTTTGGCAACGATATTGATAGTCACTATCATCGATTTTTACAACGATAATAAAATTAATTAATTTTGTCCTTGACAACGATCTATTGATAGTCACTATCATCGTTTCCTGTCTAATATATTGATAGTCACTTTACCACCACGATATAGATAGTCACTACCACCACACAATACCAACTTATTATACTATCAGCTATAGTGCTAATCACAATACCACCATTGACTTCCAGAATATTGATAGTCACTACCACCTTTACTGTCGACGATGTAGTAAATATGTTTATTGTTCACTGTACACAAGATAGTCACTACCATCACTATTTGATCAACAGAAGAATAAACTAAATGTTAAAAATATAATTTTTACAACTATAACTATCCCGGATAAAAACTAACAAAACAACTTTTGCATTTAATTTGTTGAGAGGAAATAAACTATTGACTATCCTAAAATTTGAAAATTTGAAAGATTTTTTATGAATAAGTTTTTTTCCAGATGCAAAAAAAGCACAAAACATTTCTCTCTTATTCGAAGGCAGAAAAGACATATCTACCAAAAAAAAATGTAAAATTATTTTAAAAAATAAAAATAAAAGTTTTAAGTTCAGCTACAGCATAAAATCACGCATGATATTTTTATAAAAATTCGAAAAATCATTATTTATTTTGAAATATATATCATGTTATTTATAATAACTATTGTCTGTGATAGAGAGGTTAAAGGGAATGTTCAGGTTATTTGATAAAATGCTGTTCTAACAAACATCAATTTAGCGTTACAAACGAATTATCTACGATTATTGGATTCGAAAGTTTTAATTCTTCGTCCCCTTTCCAACATTCGTAGAACTCGCCATAAAGGAATTGAGTTTTTGGTCACAAAATCCGATTTTTGAATTCCTATATATTTGCAACCCAAATTTGACGACTAAGAGATATATTTCTGTAGATCAAAAAGTTTAAAAGTTTGAAATATTCAAGGTTTCAACTATCAGGTTGCGAAGATATTGAAATTTGAAAATTTGAGTTTGTGCTGAAATTTATAATTTGCCAAATTTGTTTGCTTGTTTGTATTAAAAAACATATTTGTTTGCTTGTTTGTATTAAAAAACATATTTGTTTGCTTGTTTGTACTAAAAAAACAACCAGGCAAAAAATGTTATGAGTCAGACAAAAAAAATGAAAAAAATTTATTGCTCATTTACGATGAAATTACCCAATGATAAAACAATTTAAAAAAAAAAAAAAAGAATACAAGACACATGAAGAAACATCTCAAAGGAATTGCCTCAAATTCAAATTGGCTGATCCCTATATCTTTGCAACCTGTTGGTGTAAACCTTTGTCATTTTAAACTTCTTATTCGACCAAATATAATTCATTGTTTAAAGGTCTACGCAATTGGGTTGCAATGAAATGGGAGTTTGAAATCAGAGTTTGTGGCAAAGACTCAATTCCTTGAACTTTAAAGAAACTTATTTTGAAGATGAATGAAATGTTTATGTTTTATGACGAGAAAAACTAGAAAAGTTAAGCGATGAGTTTAAGATTATTCATGTTTACTCTTTTGCTTGTTATTTGCCATGGAGTGTGAACAGAAAAGAAAGGCACCCAGAGACGGTACATTTTTCGGCTTGGAGCTGACCCTGCCCTCGCTTAGCCAATCAATAATCATTGCAGCTTAATACTGACCCATGCCGTTCATTAATTGAATATTCTGTCCTAACTGGGCCTGGAATTCAATGTACTGCACAGTACTAATGACGCGGTCCGTCTCCTGCTAGCTCCGCCTGGTCCTGGAAGATTTCACGATCCGGTCCGCCTGAATTTCCTTCCGACCGGTCTGACTGGATAGATATTCCGGTGAGCTGACCCTGCAGTTAAACTCGCCCCATGCACAGAAAAGAAACTGGAATAGAAATCTTTAAAGGAAATCAAGTCTAAATAATATGTTATTAAAAAAAAATTTCACAAAATAATATCTGGATAACGATGAATTTTTCAACAAGACAATTAAGGTTAATTTGAAGGTATTTTTAACGACTGATACCATTTCTGTCATTTGGGCCATATAGTATTATTTGATGTAATGATATCTGAAGGAAAATCAAATGTTACATCTTATGTCGATAAAAAGGCAAAATGCGCAATTTTTGCAAAATAAACTTGGAGATTTGTATCTGAAATTAGATTGAAAAATAAGTCAAATTTTTTTTAACTTCTTGTTTTCGCAAAAAAATTTTGTCAAAAATCATTCTTAATTTAGTTTTTTAGAGCAAAGGAATTGAGTCTTTGCCATAAACTCTGATGTTCTAATCCCAATATTTTTGCAACCCAATAAAGCATACTTTAGATATTTCAAACTATATATTCTGGAAGATCATATAATTTAAGTTTGAAATATCAAAGGTATCCACCATCAAGTTGCAAGGATATATGTAGTTGTATATATAGTTTCAGTAGAAGTAAATATTTCCATTTTCTGATAGCGCCAATTGAAGGGTTCTTAACTCTGATTAGATAATGAGATAGATAGAAAGATAGATGTTACCGCCATACTATTTCTATTGGTTCAGAATAGACAACAAACACATGGCTGAACCCTGATTGGATCAGGCGCTAATGGACTCGGCACACAGGAGTGTCTATGGGATTTTTATGAAATGTATTTACGTATGTTTGATGCAACGGTTAATCCTAAGTATAATAAGCTTTTTTACAAAAGTAGAAATAAAAAATAAATAATTTCAATTTTATTTTTATTTGAATTCTTTTAAATTTTAGCAAGATTCCGGAACCAGTTAAATTAATTACATACTTTATAGCAAGTCTATAGTAAAATTTAAAGTAGCCATCATCATTGGCCGAATTTAAAGAATTTGAGCGGCGGTTTAAATTTAAACTGCGGTTTAAATATGGTTGGTTTCACTTAAAAATGTATCAAATGTTTCAAGATTTAAGCCGGCGCTTAATTTAAACCGGGGTTTGGCGGATTTAAACCGCGGCTCAAATTCTTTAAATTCCATCTCATGAATGATAAATCGTACACAAAAGTTTATAAATACTTAAATAGTTTCTGTATAAAAAAGTTTCTGTATAAAATAGTTTCTGTATAAATAGTTTCTGTATAAAATAGTTTCTGTATAAAATGGCCTTGAATTGCCTATTTACCTATTCCCCCCAAGTTCATCTAATTGTGTTTTTAGGAAACAATGAATGCAATCCTCACCCTTCTCACACTTTTTTCATTTTTAAAGAGAGTGTTCGCGAAAATGAAGGAATATGTTTAAAAAAAGTAACATAGAAAAATTGTACCGATCAATTCAGGAATTAATCTTGGTTAATCCTAGTATATACCCCCTTTTCATTTTCGGGACCACACTCTTTAAGTTTGACCCGTTTCTTTGGGAAAGGAATTGCGTTTTTCCACAAATCTTAATTTTTTAATACCTAAATCTCAACAACCAGATGATTCATACCTTTCATATTTTAAACTTACATTGTTTGATCCACCAGAATTCATAGTTTGAAATATCTACGGTCTACGACATTTGGTTTTAAAGAAATTGGGATTTAAAAATCTGAGTTTGTTTTTGTTAATTTTTCATTGGAATTTGTGTTTTTATTTATATCGTTATCTATAAATATTGATTCTTTGCGTGGAAAATAAAAATAAAAAATGTTATTATTATATTATTTTAAATGATTCAAGATATTAACGAGAAACTGGGACAAGCTATAAGAGGGTGGGGGGAGGGGGGAGTGAAATTAAAGATAAGCAATAAGTATTAATATATCTATGTGGTCAAAATCCGGGAGGCTGCGTGGGGTGGGGGACGGGGGTACAACAAGGCAGTCATGGGGTGGGGAGTGGGAGGGGAACATGGGAAAATCCGAAATTGTGCAAATATTACATTTTAATTTATTTCTAATTTGACATGATTTATCTGTAGGCTCAGGATACCTAAACACAAAACAAAATATGGTGAATATCCGTGAATAATAAATATCATGTAGAGATATTTAGTGACAAATATTGAACAGAGAAAGATGTGATAAAGGTTCTGTGATTGAAAATGCAGTGCTTGGTACCAGGCGCGGCGGAGCTTGCTCAGCTCGGCAAGGGTAGCTGGGGTCGGCGCGACTAGCTGGGCGGGTTCACAAGGATCAGCTGATTCCTCAGGTATTTATAGAACTCTAGTCAATCTTGGCGCAACGCAGTATTCAAGTCTCATACAAGTTTTAATATAATATATTCTAGTGTGCAGTGTAAAATGCAGTTATTTGAAGTAAGCTAGGAAACGGTAATTAAATCAAAACATTTAATATTTAATATTTGAATTTTCTCATTTAGGGGGATTCACATTTTTAAAGGTTTTTACGTTTAGTTTTAAATTTAAAGGAAATGAAATCTAATTAGCTAATCTCTACATCTGTTCTATTCTGTGAAATTAAATAGTCTACATAAGTGGTTTACACCATCAGGTTGCAAAGATATATATAGATATAGATATTTTATTAAAAAATGATTCCTAAATGAAATCAGGCAATGTTTTAGTTAACCTCCTTTAGTAATAATTAGAATAAAGACAATAATAAAACAAATAATGAAATGATAAAATTAAGAAAAACAACCCCTTTTTCTAATAATAGACCAGTGTCCGAATTTAATGAATTTAAGTCGCGTCTAAAACCCCCCAAAAACCGGTTTCAATTGAGCGCCGGCTTAAATCGTGAAAAATGTTATACAATTTTAAGCGGAATCAACCATATTTGAGCCGCGGCTCAAATTTAAGTCGCGGCTCAAATACTTTGAATTCAGCCTCTTTGGTGTTTTTTTTTAATTGATTGTGATTTGTTTAATTGTTTGAATTTATTCTCTTCGGTGGTTAAACCGATCTATTATTGTTCAACAGTTCGAAAAGATTTGCCAGCTGACAGATTTTAAAGCATACAAATCTAATAAATTTAATTTCAAAATTTAAAGTTTTCCAATGAAGTTAAAGTCAGAGAGCTTAACTAAAATACATACCGTGCACACCCCTAAGAAGTATTTTTAATTGTTAAAGAGCTGGATTGTAAACGTAATTTCAAGTGACCCTCTATGCAAAGATTTCAATGCCTAAATCACAACGATATACCCTTGAAACCTTTATATGATGAATAATGTGAAACTATTGTCTTTTTTCTATAGATATAAAAGTGTTTAAAGGGACAGACCGGCTATGTAAGGTAGTTAAACTGAGTATGCAGTGTTGTGGACAAATTCTTTAGGATTCATTTGAGACATTTTAAAACCAAGCTGAGAACATTCCCGTGTGGGTTTCCCGAGTTCTCTAATCAAATTTAAGGCCAAACGATCAAGGGGTTATAAGTTTAATGAAGAATTTTCTTGAGATTGTTAAAATTCTCGTCAAAAAAAATCTTATCTTCTAAAATAAATTTTCCATGTTAATATGTATTTTGCAAAAGTTAAAAAATGCAGAATGATATATGTATAGCTAGGTGTAAATAAACAAACGGGCAAATTATAAACATAAAACTAGTTCAGCATTTCACGTAAACATTGCAGATAATTACTGGCAAAATATAGGTTGAGAAGAAATCAAAACTAAATATCTAAAAGAAAGCCAAGGGGAAAAAAATTTCAAAATAAAAAGTCATGAGAGAAAATTTCAAAAGAAATAAAATCCTAGGTTTTTTATTCCTGGGACTTTTTATAATTCAGTGTGCGTTTGAAGATTGCCAACAATGCATTAGGAAAAAGAATCATAAGTTTTTAAGAATTTTTTTTAAGAAAAATTAGTATTATCTATTATTATTATAAAGTAGACAAAAAAAGACTGGAACCAAATAGAATCAACCAGAATAAACTAGAATAAACTAGAATAAACTAGAATAAACTAGAATAAACTAGAATAAACTAAATAAACTAGAATAAACTAAAATAAACTAAAATAAACTAGTATAAACTAGAATAAGTTAAAATAAACTAGAATACACTAAAATAAACTAGAATAAACTAAAATAATGTAAAATAATGTAAAATGATTAAAATAAACTAAAATGAACTAAAATAAACTGAAATAAATTATAAAGTAAACTAAAATAAACTAAAATAAACTATAAAATAAGTTAAAATAAATTAAAATAAACTAAAATAAATTAAAATAAACTAAAATAAATTAAAATAAACTGAAATAAACTGAAATAAAATATAAAATAAACTAAAATACTGATATAAACTAGAATCAACTAGACTAACTAAAATAAACTAAAATAAGCTAGAATAAACTAAAATAAACTAAAGTAAATAGAATCAACTAGAATAAACTAAAATTAGCTAAAATCACTTAAAATCATCTTGAATCAACTAGAATCAACTAAAATATTTTTGAATCAACTAGAATCAACCAGAATCATCTAGAATCAACTAGAATTAATTGGAATCAACTAAAATCAACTAGAATCTATTAAAATTCACTAGAATCAACAAGATTCAACTAGAGTCAACTAGAATCAGTTAAAATTAACTAGAATCAACTTTAAAAAACTAGAATAAATTAAACATCAACTAGAAATAATTAGTAATAACTAGATTAGCTAGAAATAACTTGAAATAACTAGAAATATCTGGAAATAACTAGAAATAACTAAAAATAACTAGAAATAGCTAGAAACAACAAGAAATAACTAGAAATAACTATGAATAACAAGAAGTAACTAAAAATAACTATAGAAATTACTAGAAATAGCTAGAAATAACTAGAAATAACTAGAAATAACTAGAAATGACTAGAAATAACTAGAAATAACCAAGATGAACTAGATAAAACAATGATAAACTAGAACATGAACTGTTCAGGTTGAAGAGTAAGGTTGTGACGAAGAACAGCTCCAAGATGGTGGTTAACGAGGAGGATGTTGTTAATATTATGGCTGGGATGGAACACGCCGGAGGGATCAAACTCAACGATCATAAACGGAAACTCAAAAACAGGTTAAATTTAAACTTTTTCTTTACACAAATTTTGGTTAGGTTGGCCCAAATTATATTTGACCCCCAAGAGATAAAGAGCCGTCATTCAGAGCAGGGTTGGCAAAATCCGAAATTATTCTATGCATGAAGTCCTGACAATGACATGCTAGAGACATTGTGGTATTAATTTCATTATGATCGAATAATAATAATTGAGAGAAAAAGTCTAAAGATGTTTTTTTAACACCCTTAGTTTTGATTACAACACAAGTTTCAAATAAATCTTTTTAATTAAAAATGATTATTTAGATTTTTGTTTTAATGAAGTTGTAAAAATAAATCTAAAAAACATAGCTTTCTAGATTTGAGATATGTCGAAAGCTTGGACAAGGAACCTATGGAAAAGTACAGCTGGGGATCAATAAAGAAACAGGGCAAAAGGTAGAAAAAAAACTTTTGTTTAATTTTTAAAAAATGCAAAAATGCAGAGAAGGAAACGAAAAAGATATTAAAACAAAAAGTTTATCAGTTCTCAAATTTGGAACAATAAAACTGTGGAATAGGAAGACGACCCTTCAACTAAAGTTATGAATACTCCAAAAAACTTGAAACACAATAATTGTTCTTGGTACACAAACCTATTTAACGTTAAAGGACTGTAAGCGTAATTTCAAGTGACCCTTCATGCAGAGATGGCAATGCCCGATTCACAACAGTACCCTTAAAAGTTTGTTTTGATTAAGTTTGAATTAGATAACCATGTTAATTATCAGAATTTACTTTTAAAATTAGAAAAACGACAATATCTTCCGTACTTTTTATCAGATAAAGGTTTCAAGTGTATCGTTGTGAATCAGGCATTGTCATCTTTGCATGGAGGGTCTGCCATTGAAATTGCGCTTATAGTCTATTGCAAACTTTTTGATTTAAAACAACATCAAATGCGCATAAGATTACAATGATGTCGTTTTCTTTTCCACGGCTTATGGGTCCCTTTGTAAATAAACAAAATAATAACAATGACGATCTAATGTATTCCAGGTGGCGATCAAGACGATTAAGAAAAGTAAGATCGAGACCGAGGCAGATCTTATTCGAATTCGTCGTGAGATACAGATCATGTCCTCAGTTCAGCATCCGAATATTATTCATATCTACGAAGGTAACACCAAATATTATTCATATATAGGAAGGTAAGACCTAACATTTTTCATAATTTCGTCGATTTGTTATCGTAATCTGTAGTTCATCCTGCCTTAAAGGGAGTGGTTCGTCAAATAATTTATCGGACAAATCACCAATAATTAATAGATTTAATGGTTTTAGGTACTTTCCTAAAGGATTTTTCCCAAGTGGCAACTTCCCAAGTGTCCAATTTCCCTCTGAGGCGCCGCAGGCTGCAATGGTGGTCGAGAGCTGCGGCTAGGATGGGGTATGGGGCCGAGTGCTGCGGCTAGAACAGGCTGGGGGCCGAGCTCTGTGGCTAGCACAGACTTGGGAAGTTGTCGCTTGGGAAATTGCACATTTGGGAAGTTGCCACTTGGAAAATACCCTTGGAAAGTTGCCACTTGGGAAATCCTTTGGGAAAGTACTCTAATGCAATTTTGGGTTTTGTGGCAGAACGGTTTGGACTAATTTCTTTTTACAAAAACATCAAATCGAAAACAAATCGATTTATATTTCAGTTTTCTTTTTTCACCCTATAACCCCCTTTCATTTCTCGCTTGATTTTCCTTTAATCCTCTTTCATTTTTCACGGGATTTCCCTTGAACCCCCTTTCATTTCTCTCGGGATTTCCCTTGAACCCCCTTTCATTTCTCGCGGATTTCCCTTGAACCCTCTTTCATTTCTCGCGTGATTTCCCATGAGCCCCCTTTCATTTCTCGCGGGATTTCCCTTCAACTCCCTTTCACTTCTCGTGGGATTTCCCTTGAACCCCTTTTCATTTCTCGCGGGATTTTCCTTGCACCCCCTTTCATTTCTCGTGGGATTCCCCTTGAACCCTCTTTCATTTCTCGCGTTTCTCGCGTTATTTCCCTTGAACCCCTTTTCATTTCTCGCGTGATTTCCAACGAACCCCCTTTCATTTCTCGCGGGATTTCCATTGAACCCCCTTTCATTTCTCGCGGGATTTGAATTGAACCCCCTTTCATTTCTCGCGGGATTTCCATTGAACCCCCTTTCATTTCTCGCGTTATTTCCCTTGAACCCCCCTTTCATTCCTCGCGGGATTTCCCTTGCATCCCCTTTCATTCCTCGCGGGATTTCCCTTGAACCCCCTTTCATTTCTCGCGGGATTTCCCTTGAACCTCTTTTCATTTCTCGCGTGATTTCCATTGAACCCCCTTTCATTTCTCGCGAGATTTCCCTTGAACCCCCTTTCATTTCTCGCGTGATTTCCATTGAACCCCCTTTTATTTCTCGCGGGATTTCCATTAAACCCCCTTTCATTTCTCGCGTGATTTCCCTTGAACCCCCTTTCATTTCTCGCGTTATTTCCCTTGAACCCCCTTTCATTTCTCGCGGGATTTCCATTGAACCTCCTTTCATTTCTTGCGTTATTTCCCTTGAACCCCCTTTCATTTCTCGCGGGATTTCCATTGAACTCCCTTTCATTTCTCGCGGGATTTTCATTGAACCCCCTTTCATTTCTCGCGTTATTTCCCTTGAACCCCCTTTCATTTCTCGCGGGATTTCCATTGAACCCCCTTTCATTCCTCGCAGTTTTTCACTTTAACGATCCGAATAGAATCTATAAATCAAAATATTTGATTTTGTTTGAAAACAAAACCTTCTCTCCTGATCTTGTTAATGGTTCTAACCTAAAGATATGAAGAATAGAACATCATTTCGTCACAGGGTTAAAGATTAAAGGGACCAGATACATAATTTTAAGTAATTCTCCGTTAAACAAAAAGAAGTGGCATGTTCGAATAACAAATGTACCCTTAATAGCAATAGTTGATAAATAATTAATGAAATATTTCTCTTCAAAAAATTGGTTGCTTTAACGAAAAAAATTGTGAGAATGAAACGATTTCAAGCTTCCACATTGTTCATCACGTAAAGCTACCATTGTGAACAGGGCATGTCCCTATTTTTAAGTAGAAGGTCCCTTGAAGTTACAAGGACAGCCCCTTTTAAGTTTATTAGAATTTTTTTTAAAATTTCTAATCTGATCTTTTCATGACAAATAATATTTGTTCAGTAGATATATCTAGTTTACTAGTTTAACTATTTAGTGTTTGAGAACAAGGAGAAGATGGTTCTTGTAATGGAGATTGCTGCTGGAGGAGAACTATACGATTATCTCAGGGATATATCCAACCCTATATATCCAACCCTTTATATCCAACCCTTTATATCCAACCCGTTATATCCAACCCTTTATATCCAACCCTTTATATCCAACCCGTTATATCCAAACCTTTATATCTAACCCTTCATATCTAACCCTATATATCCAACCCTATATATCCAACCCTATATATCCAACCCTATATATCCAACCCTTTACATCCAACCCTTTATATCCAACCCGTTATATCCAAACCTTTATATCTAACCCTTCATATCTAACCCTTTATATCTAACCCTATATATCCAACCCTTTATATCTAACCCTTTATATCCAACCCTTTATATCCAACCCTTTATATCTAACCCTATATATCCAACCCTTTATATCCAACCCGTTATATCCAACCCTTTATATTTAACCCTATATATCCAACCCTATATATCCAACCCTTTATATCTAACCCTTTATATCCAACCCTTCATATCTAACCCTTTATATCTAACCCTATATATCCAACCCTATATATCCAACCCTTTATATCTAACCCTTTATATCCAACCCTTTATATCCAACCCTATATATCCAACCCTATATATCCAACCCTTTATATCCAACCATATATATCCAACCCTATATATCCAACCATATATATCAAACTCTTTATATCCAACCATATATATCCAACCCGATATATTCAATCCTGTATATCCTATATCCAACCCTATATCCAACCCAATATATCCAACCCTATATATCCAACCCTGTACCTAAGGGTAAGGGATGATAAAATACCTAAGAGCTAGGGGAGTAATGTGAAGATAAATGGAGTTTTGGGGGATTAACGGAGCAGTTTTTGTTGGATAACATTTACTAATATTTCGGTTTATGAGCTCATTTTGTTATTCCACGCTTTTTTACTAACTGTCTGCTCCTCTCTCATCAACATTTTTCCTTTCCAACCTCTTTCTGCCTCCCCCCTCATCTTGATTTTGTTTGCGATTATTTTGGTTTTTATCTTGGTTGCTTACCACTACAACCTTCATATTTCAAATCAAATCAAATCAAATATTTATTGCACGAAGATTAGAATTTATACAATATAAATATCACATAGAAAAGTATAATCCTCGTTCTTCTGATCTTTCTTCTTTTATTCTTCTCCTTTTTCTCCTTTTCTTTCTCCCGCCACACTTAACTTATCACTAATCCACTTTTTTGCTTATTCTTTTTCTTTACATTTTCTCTTCCTTTAATTCTTTTCCTTCCCTTTTCCTTATTCTTTTCATTTCCTATTCCATACTTTTCTTGCGGCTTTCCCTTCTCACTTCCTATTCCATTCTTTCCTTCTGCTTTTCTTCCTTAGTTCTTCTTCAATTCGTCCCTTCTGTATTTCCTTCTCACTTTCAGTTACATTCTTCCCATTTACTTTTCCTTCTGTTTCCCCTTTTTTTCTGGCTTTATTTCCCTTTCTTCCCTTTTTCTTTATATTCACACTTCCTTTCTCTTTCTTATTCCTCTTTCATTCTTCCCTTCTGTCTTTTCTTTTATTACTTCAAGTTCCTTTCTTCCCTTTTTCTTTTCTTTCTAATTTCCACTTCCTTTTTCCTTTCTAATTTTTCTTTCTCATTCTCCTTTCATTATTTCTTTCTGTGTTTTTATCAATTCCACTTTCATGTCTCCCCTCTATTTTTCTTTTTCACTTTTACTTCCCTGTCTTCCCTTCTATTTCTATTTCCTTGTATTTCCTAAGGTTGGATTGTGTACATATATAGTGAGAGGAAGAGTTTAGAGGAAGGAGAGGCAAGGAGAATATTTAGACAGATCTCTACAGCAGTCTACTACTGTCACAAGGTGAATAATTAATTCTTAAAACATGAAAATCCACCGGTAAAACGGTAAAATCTGAGAAATTTTTAAATGTAATTTTTTGTAATGTAAGATGTTGGCAAATGGTTTACAATGTAAATTTATCACTAGAAAACTAGTTTTTTTTTTCATTTTATTTGTTAGTTGTGAATTTACAACTCTCCTAAACTTTTCCATTAGTCACTCATCTAATCTTCTGTAAAAGTGATGATATTGAATCTATAATTTACATATGGGCTAAATGAGTCACTCAATAGATGAGTGATTAAGCTTGTGAGCTAGGGCCTAAGAATGCCTCTACAGTTTATAGTTTGGGCCAAAATAAACATAAAGGTTTAAATCTTCCTTGCAACACAGAAAGAACATGAATATAACTTATCATACGAGGCAATAACATTTAACACAAAACACGAAAGAAATATTTAGTAAAAACCTAAATGAATAAATAAATCAATGATAAATAAAATATTGAATTTTTATTTTTATTAATTATCAGAACAGGTGTTGAAAATTTAGGAGCAGGTTTCACAACAACGATCCCTAAAATATACTTATCAAAACCAAATAAATTTTAAAAATTATCAAATATACGATTGGTGCATTATTTGTATATGTTGAAATATGAATACATACTATACCGATTATTACTACAGCTATAAAAAGTACCCTGAGCAAGAACTCTTTCCGAATTCTATAAATGATATCTGACTAAGGATTTTTACATCTAGAAATAAATAGTTAGCGCCTGAGTCAGTCTGCGGGAATTGATTCTCTTCTATATATATACTTTGCTTGTCTGTTTGTCTGTGTGTCCGTTTGTATCCAATAAACGTCAAAACGGCTGAACCCAGGGAAGGTTTATAGAAGATCAAAATTTCAAAAATTTGCCTCCAACAAAATTCGATTTTCAATAAATGTTGAAAATCCACGATTTTTTTTATAAAATTCGCAACATTTTTTGTTTTTGTTTTACAATGTATACAAAGAGGATATGTTCACAATGGATTGGAAATAGAAGATTGGCTCGAAGCGCCATAAAAGCCTAGTTGTATAGATTTTGATAACAATTATTGGAACGCTGGGACATCCCATAGACATATATATTCATTGATGGGACATTGCATAGATAGAAAAGACAAGTTGAATCCTTTCCGGTTTCCGACAATTTTCATATTTTCACAAAGATTAGATTTGGTAATCTAACCTGCAGTTTTACCTTGAGAAAGGATTCTAATCTGTAGTAGTACCCTGAGTAAGGATTCTAACCTGTAGTAGTACCCTGAGTAAGGATTCTAACCTGTAGTAGTACCCTGAGTAAGGATTCTAACCTGTAGTAGTACCCTGAGTAAGGATTCTAACCTGTAGTAGTACCCTGAGTAAGGATTCCAACCTGTAGTAGTACCCTGAGTAAGGAGTCTAACCTGTAGTAGTACCCTGAGTAAGGATTCTAACCTGTAGTAGTACCCTGAGAAAGGATTCTAACCTAACCTGTAGTAGTACCCTGAGTAAGGATTCTAACCTGTAGTAGTACCCTGAGTAAGCATTCTAACCTGTATGCCGGAATATCACAGTATTTTCGCATTTCTTTCCTCTTACAAACGGGAGACTGATCCTTCCTATACATACACCCTAGCAGATATTAAATAATATGCATGCAAGTGACCTTACTTTTTAAACTCAAAATATTGATTGGGGTTTGATAAGTCAATCCAATAACAAGGATAAAAAGTGAGTTATGTCCCTGAGAAGATATGATAAAGACGGCCCGGAGTTCTATCCGTCCTAACCTCATTTACTCCTATAAATACTTAAGCCAGAGTTGTGTCAATTCAAGAGTTAAGTGGAATGCTAGAGTTTAAGTTTTGAAAACAATCAGTTTAGAAAGAAAAGTCTCAAGGTTGGATCGGAGACACTCATTGCAAGGTTAAATAAACAAAATACATTCACTCATTATAGAAAATACTAAACTAACATATCATAGTATAAATAAAGTATAATTAAGTAAAAATACCCCGGAATGAAATATTCCCTGTAAAAGCTGTAAATTATAGTTGCTCACTAAATTCGGAAAATTAACTGAAATTAACGAAAAATTAACCTTTAACAGGCTTTAAATTAGATAATGATATACATAAACTTTAACACATTAAATTAATACCCGTTGCAAGTTCATACATCTCACTCTTAACATATGCTTTGCTCGTCTTTGGGTGTTTGTCCATTTGTATCCAATAAACGTCAAAACGGCTGAACCGATCGAGACAACATTTTTAAGACAACTTACATATCCCCAGCGAAGACGAAACTGAAAAAATGTCGAAATGTATTATTTGTGAAAATTCGCCAAATTAAATAGAGAAATCAACGAAAATTTGAGAATGATTTAAAATGACCTAGCATTTCTATATTTTCGTTATTTCTTTTAAAAATATGACACCTTATAACCATCAGTGATCTATCAAGTTCATCAAGGGAAGGGAACGCTTTTAAATAAATAATTTTACAGAACATTTTTTTTCGAACGTCTTACTGTACACAGACCCATTTCACTTAATTTGTCGATGTTCAAGCTACTTGTAAAACTATTTGCTTTATAACAATGTTGATTTCCTATTCCACAGTTTCATGGGTTCAAAGATAATCAGTGGTGTATATAATTCAATTTTTTATTTCCTTTCCAAACTTGACAACTCAAAAGACAAAATTTTTAAGATTCACAATTTAGCGCAAAAAGGATGTTTTTTTTAAAGCAGGGGGAGGGAGGAGAATTAAATACACCATTAAAGATAATACATTAGCTATTAGTGTAGGTCAATAAAGGTTGACCAATTAGTGTGGGTGATCTAGTTTACTCGATAACCTCAAAATCAAGATAGAAAGTAGAAAAAAATATTATGAAAATGCAAGGGAGCTCTGAGTTTCAGTCACTGTCCCTACCTACAGAAGCGCCTAATTACGACCCTGTATCTATCTAAGCACTCCAATGTAGGTAAAAACTACCTTTACAGCAATTGACACTCTAAATCCTCATATGACGTCACTGCTTATTTTAAAGAATACTTAATTTTGCGGCTCACTGAATATAAACGAACTCAAAAATTGAAATCTTGCTATGATATGACTGAGATAACTAACCTGCAAGGTGTAGAGCAGTCTCCAGGATTACAAACTGTTCTATGAATAGATCTTGATCCACAAACATTCTGTCCATGTCCAGGACACGTGTACAGCATACTCATGTACCCTAGAAGGACACATTTACAGCATACTCATGTACCCTAGTAGGACACATATACAACATACTCATGTACCCTAGTAGGACACATGTACAGCATATTCATGTACCCTAGTAGGACACATGTACAGCATGGTAATGTACCCTAGTAGGACACATGTACAGCATACTCATGTACCCTAGTAGGACACATATACAGCATGGTAATGTACCCTAGAAGGACACATGCACAGCATACTCATGTACCCTAGTAGGACACATGTACAACATACTCATGTACCCTAGTAGGACACATGTACAACATACTCATGTACCCTAGTAGTACACTTGTACACCATACTCATGTATCCTATCAACAAGATACTGTACAAGACCTGATTACCTGCTCCGCAAGATACTGAACAAGGTCCCCAACCCTGCTCCAACCAGTAGACAGGACAGGGAACACGATTGCACTCTCTTATCTAGAATACGGAGAAATATAAAAGCTTTAAAAAATGGATTGACTGTTTTTAATATAAATATAATCTAATCTCTGGAGAGAATATAAAAGTTCACTTTTGAACATGATATCCTGGATATTTACCTGTTCTGGTTTTGGTTGGACGCAGAATCTAACATCCACCATGTTTCTCCAGATTTGATCTGTTCTATTCTCATGGCTGGGCAAGCAAAACACCTCTCTAACAGAAAACTGTAAACGTAATGTCAAGTGACCTTCCATGCAAAGATGGCAACGCCTGAGTCACAACTGAACCCTTTATCTCATTAGTTGAATCGTAAAATTAAGGTTACAGATTTTCAGTAGACTCCAAACTGAGAATTTAACTTGAAAGGAGTCCATGTATCGTTAGTCCGGAGAGAGTTGATGTTTATGTTAGAGGGACCTTATGTCATGTTTCATAATAATTCACAGCAAGCAAATATGTTCACCTTCAAAACAAGGTGAAAGTAAGATATGTCAGCTTTTTAAGCAAAAGAGTTTGGGGGGAGGGGAGGGGGGGATGCAGTACATCTTTTTTAATGCTTTGTCATTGTTCTAAGCTTGTTTGGATTTATTTTATCCATCTCATTCATCTAATTATTTGAATTAAATCTCGGCCCAGAATTTTGAATAATATGAGAAAGGTATCTGTCATGCTATACAGGGTTAAATCTAGCGAGGGTTGAATTTGGTTTTTAGTGCACTTGCAGATGTCTGTTTGGATGTCCGATCATAACTCATTAACCCCTTGACCGATTTGGCTCAAATGTTGATTGGGGAACTTGTTTGTTAAAGTTTTTAAAAGCTTGGCAAAGCTGGGTTTCCAAGCTAGATAAATATACAGTCCTTTAATGGTGTATATCTAATGAAAGAAAGAAACAAGTTTACAGCTGCAAGGAACCACGATTAAAATCTGTACAGTCGTCTCTGCAGTCTCATCCTTTGTGGATAACCCTGTACCTGTATTGAGTTCCAGTTTTCCCACAGGTTTGGTCGCAGTTCTCCCAGTCTCCCTCCACCCACTCGGCCTCACACTGGAACGTGTTGCAGGGCCGATGCTCCGTCCTGGGACGGTTTCTTTTTACTCCGCAATGTTTTCTCTGAACCCTGTTCCCTGTGATGCTATCGTAGCATCGTATAATCATCTTCTGAACTCCTCCTCCACAATCCTCGGAACATGTTGACCAGCCTCGGGTCTGCCATTCGTACCTACCGAAACCAATGATGTAAAAGCAATTTTGGAAATATATTTCGAAGATTTTTTTATTCATACAGATAACGTAAGAGTTAATGAAACTGTCAAAATTCATGAAATCAAAAATCCATACAGCCCGTCAACTTGTATCTTGTTTTGTAGGTTTATAATCTACCTTGATCTACTGGAGAGAGTGTCTTCTTTAGGTTCGTATGTATATTTGATGTAAACTTCTCCTTCCTCTCCTTCTACCCCTGTCAACCCAACCAGTATGGGAGCTAGGAGAGGACCTCGAGCAGTTACAAACTCTCGTCCATGCACACTCTTGAACTCAAACTTTGCTCCGTGTACTATGAGAGATTTGTACCCGGAGTTGATGGTAGTTCCGTCTAGGAATAAAGAAGAGCCTTTTCTCTCTTTCATGACTAAACACACAATCTTGAAAATATGTTTACACAAAGATACAGGGATATCATGCATGATATAGAGATACAGGGATGGATACAGGACCTGGATGAAAAGATACAGAAACACCTGACAAGGAAAAAAAGATAAAGAGTTACAGTATAAATATAAAAGAGATTTATTCAGGATACAGCCTTGGATATAAGGCTACAGAAATTCTTCACATGGAGTTTGGGATACAGTGTGAATCACACCTGGATACCGGGAGACAGGGATAAAGTACCAGGAAAAAGGGTTACAAGGAAGGATTTTTTTCAAAATTTTCCTAGATGAACTTTATCCCCAGATATTTTCTGAACCTCGAGCCATCTTGAACCCGCAGGGAGAAGGAATACTTTGGTGAACATCTTGTTCACTTTTCTCTGGATAGTTTCTCTCTCAGTGATACATTTCGTCCCGTCTCCGGCACAAATTCCACACTGGTCTTCTTCTAGCGGAGATCCAAGTATTTTATCACACCCAACCTCCACACAGGTTCCTTGGATACAGATATTACTGGGATGATCATAGGAGCACGGTGTTCCGTCGATCACATGATCATCTGTCATCACGTGTTCTTTAGTTTTAGTATTATAACAGGCAAGCCTACATTTATATTTTAAATCTTCGTGTTCATATGGCAACCATTCTTGAGATTTGTGGGTTGAATCTCCGGTGATGAGCTGGAAGGTTGTGTTGCATTGATCTGCTCTGAAATCTTCATATTTAATGCATCTGTAGATGTTGCAAAGCTGATACTCTTCAGAAATACCAGGACAGGGTTTACCTCCGTAAGACGGTCTGGGATTATCACATCTCCGGGTTCGGAAACTAACACCTCCTCCGCAGGTTCGGGTACAATCTCCCCATCTACTCCAGCTGCTCCAGCCCCCGGAGAGAGCATTGTGTCTCAACCCATCCTTACTTTCTAAACTCTTACTTGTAGATTCACAGTATCCGTTTATGCACCATTTATTCTTACCGCAAGCCGTCCCGTCCATGGGCGGACCTTTCTTAGTCTTACAAAGCTCCGGGTTGTTGTTATGAGTGCACCAAAGATGGGCACAAGGATCAGAGAGTTGAAAACTCCGACAGAACGAGTATCCCTGATCAAACTCCATCCGGCACTGATCATCTAGACTGTACTCGTACTCAATTTTCTCACTGATAAATGTATAGTTGAAGGTAGATTTAGGTTTGTTTCTCATACAAGACCATTGGTTAGACTTGAAATGATATTCTCCGGCAGAGCAGGAGGACCAATGGAAGTAGGAGAAGGTTGCTGCCACCATAGAGGCCATGATACTCCCCTCGTTGGACTCCTTGGAGCAGGTGTTCCCTGCTCCTAGATCTCCATCATGAGATAAACCCAGAATATGTCCCAGCTCATGTGCCAAGATGAATGCACTGGACAAGCCCTCATCTCGGTTCAGAGAACAAGATCTCTCCGGATCACAGACTCCGGAGACAGGAGCGTATCCAGACGGACCTCCGATATTCTTTCTTGTTAACCAAACCGAGATATCATGCCTCTCACCCTTATCCAGACCTCTCCAGACAGCAGTGTTCCAGGAGTTCACGTTCTCCAGAGAAGCTTTAGAATCATCTTCCACTATTGGATTTATAGATTCATCATCATAGAAGATCATTCTTGTAATCACAAACTTGAGGTTGGCTCCCAGGGTTGGATCTCCGTATATAGCACTAACTATATTAATCAGGGTTAGAATATATTGCTTCACAGTATCCTTGCCATGGAATTGAATAACTGAATGATCAATATATAAAGCTGTTTCCAACCATTTGGGTTCGTCCTTCTTTACTCTAAAGTACTCACAGTAGGGTCCGTTACAGACAATATGTCCTTTCTGTCTTTGCACTTTTCTCCGAGCAGCGGCAGTATCAACCTACTCACATAGTTTAAAGGGTCTGTAAGCGTAAGTGACCCTTAATGCAAAGATGACAATTCCCGATTCACAACGGTATCCTTAATAGCGTTAATCAAGTATGAATTAGATATGAATGTTTACAATTCTGAAAATTGATTTTTTTCCATTGTGTTTTTTATAAAAGTGGCTTGCGCTTTTTTACTACAGGAAAATATAAAGGAATTATAAAAATCAAAACTATAAAAACGACAATATACTCCGCATTATTATAAGATAAAGGTGTCAAGGGTACCTTTGTGAATTGGGCAATGCCATCGTTGAATGGACGATCCCTTGAAATACGTTTACAGTCCCTTTAAGTTTTTAATCTAATAATAAAATATTCTTTAAATCAGATTTTAATAACATTTACCTAATTATTTGTAAAGAAATTAGTATTCTTACTTTATTCTTAAATTCTCATGGACACCAAGAGATATTTTTGCAACTTTAGAAAAAAAATATTTTTGTATTACACCGATTTAATTGAAACGATGTAATAAACATTGGTGCAAAACAATATTTTATTGAACAATCCCTTTAAAAAAAGTGTGTTGAAGCTGACCTGCCAAACATCACCTAGTACATGACCCATCCAATCCAGGTCAGAGTTAGAATCCGTCTCAGCCATTGCGTCATCCAGGTTCACCTCAGCAGTTAAACAATCATTGATAAACACAAACATGCTTCCTCATTTTTCAACAATATTTCAAAAATTTAAGTATAAAAATCAAACTTTTCCTTAATAAGGGGTATTAAAAAACCTTGCTTTTAAACCAAAAGTTAGATATCATTCAAATTGTAAATTGGTGGGTCGTATATTTTAAGGAATTGTGTGTTAGCCTTTTTCTATAGAATGTATGAATCTTAGAGCGGTAAGATAGACTTTTTATGTTCCTTAGTTAAACAATTTGGGTATTTTGTGTATTATCAAAGGAACTTAGTTTTTGCCACACATTCTAATTTAAAAAAGCTAATCTTTGCAATCTGATGGTGTAAACCTTTGATATTTCAAACTATCATAATTTTATCTAAAATGATTGATAGTTTGAAATATCTAAGGTCTCCGACATTAAAATGCAAAGATATAGGGATAAGAAAATCAGAGTTTGTGACAAAAACTCAATTTCTTTAATGTTTTTATTTTTTAGAAAAGGATTGAAAAATGTAAAATTTGATATGGAAATATAAAAACAACACAAATTGAAAAAAAATATTTCTAAAATTTTGTTTAACAAAAAATACTTACATCGTACCAATGAAATACATCCTCATCCCCACTCAAGCCAGAGTTCGTAATTAACTCATCTTAAAAATAAAATAAATATTTTTAAAATTAAACATATTTACGTACATAAGGTTGTTGGTGCATATATCAAGAGAATGAGTACATGTGTATTTTTCAGTGTATGAAACTATTTTGGACTTGAGCCAAATATTCGGCTCTTCATTTAGATTAGTATTTTAGTATTTGTCCCTGAAATACAACTTTAGTTTAGTTTAATACTTTCTCATTTTTCTCATCACTTATCAATCCTTCACATCAATTCATACATTTATGCAAATATTTTCTTTCGAACCCCTCCCCCCCCTCCCTCAGCTTCCTTCCTCCTAGAATAATTTTAGTTCTACACTATATCTACATGTTCTTAATGCTATTTTTCTAATTAAGAAAACTTTCAACAACCTTTCAAAAAAAATTCTTCTTGAACAAAATCTCTAGTTCTAGCAAGTCAAATGTACGAAAGCTGTCAAATTTTAGCAAGAAGTGAGATTTTTAACATCTTTATTTTAAGTCTGAAAGGTTTGTCTCCTACAAATGTCAGTTAATGAGAAAAATGTTAGTATTCTTTATTGTAAAAAGCCCGGAAAAATAAAATTAAAACTTGTTGAATATAAAAAGGAAACTTTTGTTACCTTTCTGACTTCTCCGGGATCGGTTTAGAACTTGCGCAGCAGTTAAAGTACTGTCCTGTTCTTTTGTTCTTTGAGTACTGTTCTGTTCTCCTGATAAACGTTGAATACCGTTCTGTTCGCCTGCCACATTCAGAGCACTTTCATGTTCTCCTGGTACACCTTGAGTACTTTCCTGTTCTCCGGATAGACCTAAAGTGCTGTTCTGTTCTTCGGATAGACCTAAAGTGCTGTTCTGTTCTTCGGATAGACCTAAAATGCTGTTCTGTTCTCCGGATAGACCTAAATAGCTGTTCTGTTCTCTGGATATACCTAAAGTGCTGTTCTGTTCTCCGGATATACCTAAAGTGCTGTTCTGTTCTCCGGATAGACTTAGAGTACTGTTCCTGTCTCCTTCTGTCATACCCGTGTACTCTTCAACTAAGGTTCCGAATCCTTTATGTATCTCGCTTTCTCTAAGATCGGGGTTGTTCATATTATCCTTCTTCTCCTGTGGATTCCTAATGTACGGAGGAATGATCTCCATAGAGTGTTCTGACTCAAGGGTTGGGTTCTCAGTACAAGGTTTAATGATATATCCATCTTCCTCTCTCTGTATATATCCAGATATACCATCACAGACACTAACCGCAACTAGATTAATTACCTTGAACTTTTTATTCTTCATTCAAACCTTGATTTTAAAATCTAGTTAAACAGTTCAGCGACATCTACTGTGCTTAAACATTCACAAAAGAACAGAAAAGGTTTAATGTTTAATGATTGAATATCACAAAAGAACAGAAATGTTTTAATTTCTAATGGTTGAATATTACTAAGGACAGAAAAGGTTTAATGTTTAATAATTAAATATTACTAAAGAGCAGAAAAAATTTAATAATTAAATTTGAACCTAGGCTTGATATCTCCTTGTCCACAGATCCTATGTAGAGGCAATCCAGGGATTCTCTAAGACAATAGATAAGATTAACTAGAAGGAGGATCCCAGGTTAACCAGGATAAGGGTGCAAGGTTAACCAGGAGAAGGATGCAAGGTTAACAAGGAGAAGGATGAAATGTTAACCAGCAGAAGGATTCAAGGTTAACCAGAAGAATTATCAACGGTTAACCAGGATGAAGGATGCAAGGTTAACCAGGGTAAGAATGAATTGTTAACCAGGAGAAGAATGAATAGTTAACCAGGAGATTGCAAGGTTAACCAGAAGAAGAATGCAAAGTTAACTAAGAGAAGGATATAAAGTTAACCAGGAGCAGGATGCAAAATTAACCAGGAGAAGAAAGATGGTTAACCAAGAGAAGAATGCAAGGTTAACCAGGAGAAGAATGCAAGGTTAACCAGGAGAAAAATGCAAGGTTAACCAGGAGATGAATGCAAGGTTGACCAGGAGAAGAATGAATTGTTAACCAGGAGATGAATGCAAGGTTAACCAGCAGAAAGATACGCGCAAGTTTAACCAGGAGAAGAATGCAAGGTTTACCAGGAGAAGAATGAATTATTCACCAGGAGAAGAATGCAAGGTTAACCAGGAGAAGAATGAATTGTTAACCAGGCGATGAATGCAAGGTTAACCAGCAGAAAGATAAGCGCAAGTTTAACCAGGCGAAGAATGTCTGGTTTTTCAAGATAAAAAAATACTTCAAGGGCTGATAATTGTAAAGAAACAATAAATATGATTAAAGCTTTGTTGATGTTTAACATGGTTATTTCTGTAAATTGTCTTTTTTGGCAAAAAATTGGTTTCCCTCTTGAAAATAGAAAAACTCGGGCTTGGAAATAAAATTGGATATATTTTTTAAATCCAGTTTAGTAACTACCAAAGTTACTGCATAATTAATAAAAATCTGGCATTATCAAATTAATGGGTTGGTGTGGTTTATTTAAAAAAATTCAGATTTTAAATAACTACATTGTCTGACCTTGCAAGAATAGGTTCAATTGTTTTGGTTCCATTTGCATAGACATACTCCACTACTCCAGACCCTAGCATCAACCCTTCATTCCTGGAGTAGGTTTATTAGTCCTGGTTCTGTTTATATAAATATACTCCACTACTCCAGACCCTAACATCAACCTTTCATTCCTGGAGTAGGTTTATTAGTCCTGGTTCCGTGTTGTGTGGGACCAAACATAACCTCAGGGAAGGTTTATGAAAGCTCAAAATTACAAATAGTTGTCTCCAAAAAATTTTGTTTCTCGAAAAGTTTTGAAAATCCACGAAAAAAAGTTGTAAATCTGAAAAAGATTTTATTATTGTTTATCGAAGAGAAAATGGTGAAAGATCATGCAACTATTAAAAGTTGAAATAGAAGATGGGCGCTAAGTATATAAATATACTCCAATACTCCAGACCCTAGCATCAAACCTTCAGTCATATATCCTAAAATTTCTCGACAAGAAATTCATAGGGATATGCTGAAAGGGAATTAATGAGAATGAGTCAGAATTTATTCAGAAAAAAATGTGTGGGAACTTTTTTAAGTAATAAATAACAGGATCAACAGGATCAACATGATAAACAGGATGAACAGGATCAACAGGATCAACAGGACCAACAGGATCAACAGGATCAACAGGATCAACAGGATCAACAGGATCAACAGGATCAACAGGATCAACATGATAAACAGGATGAACAGGATGAACAGGATGAACAGGATGAACAAGATGAACATGATGAGCAGGATGAACATGATGAACAGGATGAACAAGATGAACATGATGAGCAGGATGAACATGATGAACAGGATGAACAGGATGAACAGGATGAACAGGATGAACAAGATGAACATGATGAACAGGATGAACAGGATGAACAGGATAAACAGGATGAACTGGATGACTCAGGGCTAGGATTAGGATAACCTCAAGGTTACTGTTTTTGTAAGGTGTCAGGATGAAGGACTAATTGCTCAATAGAGTTTTTGAACTGATGAAAAATGAAAGTTTCTTACAGAGGAATACATCCGGAAAGTACTGAAAGGAAATTTCTTCTCAGTATGTTTTCCCAAGCTTTAAACTTGAATTAGTTTCTTATTCTTGATTAAATTCAAATGAAAAAGTGATCCACCATAAAATGTTTACGTTAAGGAAGTTTCAAGACAAAAATGATATCTGAGTCTTGAGGTTTATGGTTCACAGTGTTCACTTCATCTCTCGCCATCTATAAAAACTAGTAATAAAGAAAAAACTGTCAATGAAATATCATGGGATCTATAAAGTTCCAACTGTACAGAAAATATTAGAATAGGGAGTGTTTAAGATAACTATATGGAGGATCAAATCATTACATTCAAGCACAAGGTTTGGCAAGGTCAAAAGCCCATGCTTCCCCCATTTTTTAATAAGGAAATATATCTTTAAAATCTACAACTGTATACATTTTAAAACCGCCGCTTTATCTATATATCTACATCTAGTATCATTTTGTTTACTGATACCTGTTTAGATTTAGTAAGATTGGTCCCCTGTCCAGCATCTGAAGTTCTATCTAAAGATTGAACATTTTTGAAAATATCACCTTTTTCAGTAAACAGTTTCATATTTCATGCAAAATTACATTTTATTCACACTTGTCAGAGGTTTTTAGATATTGCTTTAAAAATATGCGATTGTTTTGTGTAAATACACTTTATAAGTTTTTAAGAAACTTCTGACAATTTTTTTTGAATAATTTGTTCAATAAAAATTACCTGGAGAGACATGTAACTCTCTCTTTTCTCCCTTGTTTTTCTTATTAATCTTGGGGTCACTTTAAAACTTGTTGTACAGTGCAGTACATGGCAGAGGTTCAACAGTACACAACAACACCTTAGAGCAGTACATACATATATTCAACAGTACACAAAAACACCCTTTATCAGTACAACTGTGTACTCAACAATACACCAGAATACTTGCAAATAATTGCAGTACATTATACATTCTTATTAGTACACAAGAACTTCTAAGATAACTACACGTTGCTGATATGATAAGATGTTCTATTAAAAACATCAAGTGCTCTGATAAGGATCGAGTCAGTGTCCTACATAAAATAGTTCAAGATAACACATTCTCAACCCCCCCCCCCTTTCCCAGGTACAAAAGTACTGAGGATGGGAATAAGAAATCACTACTTATCACTAATGTATTTATTTAACAATATTTCTATTGTAAATATATGTAGAGTTAAATGACAAGAAACCTCTTTTTGCCCTGAAGGAAAATACATTATACAGAAATTGTTTTAAAATTTTCACCAAAATATAATAACTCGATGTTCCATACTCCAACACCGGAAACCCAATAAACACTAATTCTCATAGACAGTACATATAGTAGTAGAAGTGATGGTATAATAATAATAATATTTCAGCACAATATCTGCCATCGTGATCTGAAGCTGGAGAATATCCTGTTGGATGAGGAGGGCGGAGCTAAAATTGCAGATTTCGGTTTGAGCAACGTGTTTGACCGGAAGAACCTACTGAGCACGTTCTGTGGAAGCCCGCTCTACGCCTCCCCGGAGATTGTCCGAGGGTGTCCTTACCAGGGACCGGAAGTAGACTGCTGGTAAGTTTATAAAGAGTTAAGGGTCTAAGTTTGGCTGAAAAGGAATTAAAAACTCGCCACAACTTTAAATTTTTCTAATCCCTATAGCTTTGCTCCCGTCAATATCTAAAACTACGAATTCTTTTAAAACAAAAAGTACATATGAAATGTTTACGACATTAGGTTTGAAAGATTAGAAATTTTGCTTTCGTGGCGAGTAATTAGTGCTTTTCTATGGAGCGAGGGAGCGAATGAACATTTTAGACACTGGTCATTTGTGAAAAAAAAATGTCCACAACACTAGACCGATGTTCCACAACACTATACCACTCAAATTATGTTTGAGACTCTCTCTCTCTCTATCATATACATTCTACTTCCAAAAAAATTGGGGTTAGACTTCTGGTTTTAATGAAATTGCATGGATAATTTCGAATGCTATTTTACTTTGATGATTACTTTATAATGTCAAGAAGTACTCAGTTTATTTATATAAATTCTCCAGCAGGTATTAAGTTTCCACAATATAATAATGAAAGAGAGCTTTGGGTGAATCAAGGCTAAATTATTAATCTATCAGCAATACTTTCATTTCTATCCAATGTTTCTATAAAGTCCTCTAAAGCAGTGAATATCCTGAATTTTCTGTTTTGCTTACTGAGCACCAAAGTCAGAGAATTTTTGGTGCACATTTAAGGACGGTTTTTTTTCTAAAATTCTCATAAAAAATACAATAAAAAAATCTTGATGATTGATTCTTAATATATTCATGTTTGAAAGTATATATATATATATTATATATTATTCTCGTTGCTCAAGATTTGATTTATCTCTCTTCGTCCTGATTGCATAATTCGTTCCTAGCTCATCACTAATTGGGGAATTTAAAAATTTCATTTTCGTAGATTTTCCCGTTTTAGATAATACAAATATGTCAATACAATTTCTTTTAGTTAAAATATAATATATTTATTACTATATGTTTTTAATAATTTTATTAAATTAAGTTATTTTCGGTAATTTTGCTTGGATTCCTTAAAGATATTGCAAGTAAATTTTTTTTAAACGTTAATTAAAATATAAAATAAAGGATTACAAATCTTACACTTTTACTTTACACTTTTCTTACTCTTTTTTTTACTGGAAACTGATATATCTATTTTAAGTATTAGGGGCACTTTCTGGTTATCAATTTTCAGACAGAAAACGAAGAAATTTCTTTTTTTCTGAAACGTTCTAGGTTTTTTGATTTAAAAATATTTTGGGTGTTTTCAATATAAGAATTAACACAAGGTGGTCGGATATTCATAAACTGATTTCAGTAATATCAAACCTAAAAATACAATATTTACAAAATTTTATGTTTATTTTCAATTAGGCGAACATTTCCTTTCCATGTCTGGTCACTCCTGTATTTAAGGTGCTAAAAGTGTGCATATAGTTAGGAAATGCATCCCGATCATATTTAAACTTTTTCTCTTAACAGATTACCCCACACTCCTGTATGCCAAGTACATTAGTGCCTGATCCAACCAGGGTTCAGTCATGTGTTTGTTGTCTATTCTGAGCTGGGAACTTTTGAATGGTGGATATCGGGATTAATGCTTAATCCACTCTTTTTCTCCAGATTAAATATTGCTTGTTTTCCTCATGAACTTAATCTCCAGATTAATTAACAGATCGGGATTAAGGATATCCCATTCTAAAGTTTTCAGCTCTGAACCAATAGAAATAGTATGGCGGTAACATCTAACTTTCTATCTAACGCATTATCTAATTAGAGTTATGAATCCTTATATCGGCGCTATCAGTAAAAGGAAATATTTACTTCTACTGAAACTATAATGCCCATGCGGTGCATCATATGCACTAAAAGGTTTCCATACCAATCTATCTTTTATCTTTTATCTTTTATATAACTAAAGTTGTAATCTCTATTTGTCTGCCTGTTTGTCCGATCATAACTCGGGAACCCCTCTGACCGATTTGCTTCAAATATTGATTGAAGAACTCGGAAGAACCACTGGAATGTTCTTGGTTTGGTTTTGAGATTCTAAATTGAGTGGGCCGACGTTTCAGGAAAAATAGTTCAAATCGTAATGTACGACCAACCGCGGGTAAACGGCGGGAGTAAATATTACACAATAAAAAACAATTATTATATAATTTTTGTACAGGTCTCTGGGGGTGCTGCTGTACACCCTAGTGTACGGAGCTATGCCATTCGATGGATCTAACTTTAAAAGATTGGTGAAACAGATCACGACAGGAGACTATTATGAACCCAAGCAACCATCATGTAAGTTGAGCACTTCTCTTTTTCAATTGTTCCTTATATTTTTGCAGCCCGAAGTCGAACACCTTTATGGCAAGAACTCAGACGATTGATTGATAATCTATCTAAATACTTTTTTGGTACAACCTGTTTAAAAAAGCTATATGAAGATCATATTACTATTACATATGTTTTTCAGGAACTCTACTTAACACCTTTTATTGAGGCGTATATCTTTAAACTAACTTATATCAAATTCGAATGTGAGAGTAAATATTAATATTCCTTAAAATCGTTTCACAAGCGTTTCTGTAATTGAATAAGATAAAGTTTGTCATAAGTTAAATGTTTACAGAGCTGAAAATTTTAGAATAAGATATCCTTAATCCCGATTACTTAACCTGAGTATCCAATGGACACACTTTTGATTTTCTTCTTAAACCGTTCTTTCTTGGATATAGAAGAGTAAAATCAAAAACCGGTTTTTCTAAATTAGAGAGTTCCTCCAATTTCTGTATATAATCTTAAATGACGCACAAAATTTCAAATTTATCGGCTTCGTATACTCTTAGGGTACCGAAATTCAATTATGCGCACAGTCCCTTTAACACCTTTAATGAAGCTAAAATAAAAAAATCAAATTATAAGTATAATCCTATTATATTTCTTATTTCAGCTGCGTCAAGTTTGATCCGAGGCATGTTAACCGTAAAGGCTGAAGAGAGAGCGAATATAATAGATATCTGTTCCCACTGGTGGATTAATGATGGATACACCAGGAACTGTCTGGAGGAGGCAGAGTACCTCGCCTCCCTTACCCCGGTCAGGTTGGATCTTCTTCTCTCCCTCACGAGGCAGGAGAAAAGGGAACCTCCGGATGAAGCTAAATCAGAGGTGGGTTCAAGGTTCAAGGTTCGGGTAAATCTAATGATTGGCAACAACTTCGTTCTTTTTTCAGGGATCAATATAATTCCCAAAAAAAACTGATTTTCTCGATCCCAAAATAATTTTTTGCCCCCAATTTTTTTGCCCCCAATTAAACAATTTGCCCCCATTTCTTTCAAATTTGTCAATCCCAAATGGGATTGAAAAAGGAATTATATTGACCCCTGTCTTTTTTAACTAACAAGGTTTTATGGACGAAAATACGAAGTTTGTAAATTTTGAAATAGGTTTTTAAAAACTTTTGCTTTATGTTACACTTATTTAACCCTGAGAGAAGAAATTATCGTTTTTTCCCTTATATTTTCTCTTGAGATAAAAATTGTAAATATTACTTTAAAAGCAAAATTTTACTGAACCTTTTGATTTTTGTAAATAATACTTTGTAATGCTTTTTAATGTCTTAAAACCTTTGCATAAAAAAGTTGTTGCGTTGCCAATTAGTAGGTACAACTGCAGGGTGTACAGAGGTACAGAGGCACTACAGGGTACAGGGTACAGAGGTACAGGGCACAGGGTACAGGGTACAGAGGTACAGGGTACAGTGGTACTGCAGTGTACAGGTTACATGGGTACAAGGTACAAGGGTACCTATAGCAGTTATTGTACGGTAATCAGAAGCTTATATAAATTGCATTTATATTGTGTATTGACTGTCGCATGGAAGTTTTAAAAGACAATTTCTTTAAAAATATGGATTGATATATTATATAATTTACAGGTGACGACACCAACGAACAAGGAGACTCCAACCATTGATATTGAGGAGATACCTGTAGATGCCTCTATTCCAGCTGGAGTGGAGGAGTGTGATGTTTCTCTCTCAGAGGAACCTGAAGATAGATCACCAGCAGTGAGCAGACGGAAACAGGATCACAAACGTAAACTTGACGAACGATCTAGTCTCACAGAGGCAGAGATGACTGCTAAAAAGGTGGATACTCGGGACTCTGATGATGTTGTTATCCCTCCTCCTCCAACCAGAGCTGCTATCCCTGAACCCATGGAGAGCGGAGAGGATCAGGTTTATGAAAGACCAAGAAAGATGAACATGGAAGATAAAAGAGCAAGTGTTGATATGGAGAAGACTCCTAAAGTGAGGAGAAAGCATAAGTCCTCTGGTGATCTTATAGTTACTAGAACACCAGAACCGGAGAAAAGACCTGCTCCGGTTACACCTAAGACACCGAGAACCCAGAGAGGGTTTAAAAAGGAAGCTGAACCTTTTGAAAGACCTGAACCCCAGGCTTCTCCGAGACCACCTAGGCAGACTCCTCCCCCGATAGAAAGCTTAGAATCTGAGGAGAGAACTAGGCTGGGGACTGGTATTAAACCCCAGGATGAATCCAGTCCTCCGCCACTCCCGGAGAAGAAAAGGAAACCTGTTTCCAGTGATAAGCATGAGGATGAATCTACTCGGATGGATCAAACATTCACAAGTGAGGTTAGAGTTAAAACCAATGAACTCCTATCAGGTCCCATGAACGGAGATCTAGGGCAGAAAACAGACTTTAATACTGAAAGTAAAAGTGAAATGATAAATACTCAGAGTTTCCCCAACTGTGATTTAGTGTGTGAACCTTCTAATGAGAACTCAGCTGTGATATCTGATGTGAAATCTTACAAGGACAACATACTTGAGCCGGAGAAAGCCTCAATGAGTTCTCTCTCTCCTGACATTAGGTCTCCTGTTTCTTCCTTGTCAAAGGAAACGGGTATTGAGACTCATGTCTCAGAAGAGAGTGTGAGTGGAAAGTCAAGCAAGCCAACTGAGCCAGAGCTAACCCCGCTTATATTATCCTCTACCCTTGATACTGGCAACTATCCAACTAAAGATACAGATTATAACTGCAAATCTGATAATGATTCAACAATTGAAAACTTACAAACATTGAGTAAAAGTCAAACTCAAATATCAACTCAAGAGTCAGAAACTAAATCAGATAGATTAGTTAAACCCCACCCAACTAAACAGGTAGATGTTGAGAACAATCATCATGAGATAGTTCCACCCCCCTGGGTTAAATCAGAGTCTTCAAAATCTCAGATATGTTCCCCTCAACCACAAAGACAGGAAACCTTTGCCCATGAGTCAAATGGCCATGCTACTTCAACACCAGTAGCTATACCTAAAGTGTTGAGTGCTGAAATCAAGGTTTTATCTCCGGATCTTCCAACCTTTTCTCCAAAACTTCAAAGAAAGACTACTGAAGTACACCAGACTGCTCTGATCAATGGATATTCTAATCCTACCCCAAAGGCAACTTCTCCCAAAGTTCAGAGTCCACCTAGAGTATCTTCTCCTCCCCCGAAACACCCTAGTGCTCAAGGGAGTAAAGAAAACTCTAAACCTTCAATTAACAACCTTCCCAGACTAGTCATTAAACCTAATGAATCTAAACCTTCTCAGGAGAGAGAAATAAAAGAGTCTACCCCTTCTATTAACAACCTTCCAAAACTAAAAACAGTAACACAACCTGACCCAGAGAAGCAATCTAGCAATGGATTGCTCAGTCCTAAGATTGAACCTCCACTAGTCAAACCTTTCCCTGGAAAATTGTCCCAACCTGCTGCTCTAGTCAAGACAGGAAGCCCTAAATCTCTCATAAATAACATTCCAAAACCATTCAAATCTGAAAATGAAAAATCATCAACTGAGATTTCTAATGGGCCTGTTATTCAATCACCGAAGATTAAAATGGATGCAAAAATATTGTTCCCGTCCGTTTCCTCGAATCAGATTCAGCAAAGTGGAGTTACCTCGGCAGCATCTACACCAAAACCTTCTCCTAGTATACCTCAGCCTATTCCCAGTGTAGTACAGCCTATTCCCAGTTTATCCCTTCCTTCACCTAGCATAGTTCAGCCTGCCTCTAGCATATCTAAACCTACTCTTAGCATACCTCAACATACTTCAAGCATATCTGAACCTGCTGCTAGTATAAATCAACCTGCTTCTAGCATGCCTGAACCTATTCCTAGTGTACCTCAACCTACTCCAAGTACAGTACCTAAACTAATCCCTAGTGTACCAAAACCTACTCAACCCCAAGCAGCTACAGCTCCTGTTACTGATCAGATTACACCTAAAGTTGATTCCCTGCTTCCGCCAATAAAGCAACCAGCTCAGGCCACAAAAAGCACGGATTCAGTAGGTTCGTGTGTTTCTCTCTCTTCCGATGAGGAACATAAATCCCAACGAAGTTCTCCGGTAATACTTCCTAAACCAAATGGTCCAAACATTAACTATTCAACCCTCTCTCCCTCTAGCTCCGGGTCTACCCTGGATAGCAATGGAAAGAAGGGTCCGGAGAAGAGGGATTCTAAGGTTATAAAAGCTGCAGCTTACTGGAATAATTATATTGGAGAAGTAACCTCTAAATCTAAACCCCAGTCTAATCCCAAGATGATGGATAAACCTAAGAAGATAATCAGTGCTGGGATTGGTGAGAGAGGTCTAAAGGAACTGACAAGTGCATTTGAACAGGGTAAATCTGTACAACCAGAGGATAAGTTTACACTATTGAGACGGAACTCTAAAAAGTCTAACGTTGAGAGCTGTAATCCTGGTCTTAGAGTAAATGATGCAAAGTCAGTGTTTGAAAAGAAGTTTCAACAAACCGAGACACCAAGATTGACAAGAAGAGGTAGTTCCTCGCTAGAGAAACCAAAGTGGGGACAACCGAAGGAATCCAATCTAAAATCCAATCAAGAGAATGACATCAGTGATGGAGGAATCAGTCCGTCCAAATCAACAGATTCAGAAAAATCTGATAGAAAAGAATCAACCCAGAAAGTTATTGAAATGTCACCTGAATCTGTTGCAGCAAAATTACAGATTTCTGAACCTAGTTCTACCAAAGAAAAGAAAGTTGAAAATAAAAAAGAACAGAAATTAACACCAGCAGTTGAAACTATTACAAAAATAGGAGAAGACACAAAAAATAATATACAAACCGATGATTCGAAACCAATCTCTGAAGGAGGTTTAAAACCATCCAATCCAACAACTGCTCAACCTAAACCACCAACTAGTCCTAAGCCTAAAGTAAAGAAAGAAGACCTCAAAATAATCGAAAAGAATATCTTAAAAAATGTTGATGAAAACTTAGGTCAGATAAAAAATGAAAACTCCAACCTGATTCCTGCGCTGTCTGCAACTGAAAAAGATGTTGCAGAAAAGGCTGTTATAGTGAAGCTTAAGGAAAATGATAATAAGCCGCCAGATTTGAAACCATCAGAGAAGGTTTCAGATTTATCCAAACCTCCTCTCACTACAGTTAAAACTGGTGAGGTTACAAAGATTGTATTTAAAAACAAAATTAAACATGAGGAGGAGAAAAATATAAATGGTATGGAAAATAATGAAACCAGCAATAACTTCAAAGAAAACGATCCTCCAAGACTGATCATAAAAACTGTCAAGATCAAAAGTCCAGAACCTGAGAAAACAGAAAAGGTTAAATCTCCTGAACCCAACCTCAATGAAATTAGGAGTACACTGAAAAAAGTTCCACATGTTGCAGGAAGCAGGAAAACCACAGAAAATGATTCTGAAAAACTTACATTAGAGAAAAAGATTGAGTCTAAGGAAGAAAAGTTAGAAGTAAACACATTCAATACAGAGGCCATAGAAACAAAAACCAATCTCAAAAGTCAATCAGAAGATTCTAGATTGGATACATCAAAGGATAATGACACTGTAACCAGTCCTCCGGTAAAAGAACGAATTATTCCAATCACGTTTGTTAATGAAAACATTGTCCCTAAACCATTCATAGCTGATGTGGAAAATATTGCTTCCAGCCCTAAAGACTCGGCTCAAACTGCAGAACGAAATGAGCATCACATTCCAATCCGTGTTGAGGGTGGATTAAGATATTCAAGTAGATCTGACCATCCTGAAGAGGATATGGAGCGGAATGAAATACTGGATAATTTTAATGCCAGTAATATATCTAGAAGACGATGGGGAAGTAGAAAGAAACGTATGAGCTCAGCATTTAGTGATTCCAGTGTTTCAGATGATGATGCACTTGCTTCTTTTGCAGGTTTGCAAAAATACACGTCATATGGAAAGCATGGATTGATAGAACAGCCATTGTTTCGGTTGAAAAAGACCAGACCACCTTTCTCAAACGACAAAACAGAAAGTTTTTCTAGCGGCGAGGAAGATGATTTTGATGACGACGGTTTCCAGGAGATGACAGCTGAAAACCTGTTCTCCACCTTGTTGTCAAGAGTTAAAAGCTTGACAAGAAGGATCCATGATGAGCATGATGAACACATAAACTGGCAAAGATCCAGACATGGTCCTCCTAAACTTAATCCAGGTGGAACCCATGCTAGGCTGGAGAGAACAGCACAGAGAAACTCCATCAAAAGATCTGGGGACGGATATTCAAGACAATCTTCTGCATATGATGATTCTTCCTCACAGAGATCCTTTGATGATTCCCCATCTAATAAGTCTTATAACTCCGGGTATACCCCAACCAGGATATACAACAGGAGTAACTCTAACAACGAATCAGATAGCAGGTACTCTACAGGAAGCCCGTCGTATTCCACCGGAGGTTCCATTAAAAGGTATGATGAGAGTGACACTGCAAGCAATTTCTCTAACAGTGTCTCTGTTACCAGTTCTCAAAGGCTTCGGCCTGGGTACTTACCTCCACCAGCTAACCATAACACTATCAATGCATCCAATATTAACTATCCTAGTTCTAATTCTAACGACCTAGATGCTCAATACTTTGCTCAAAATTTAACACCTAAAGCAAGTGAGGCGTATGAACGTAATATTCCTATAAGTGTGCATAAGAGTTATAATTCTGATAGTCCCGGTAGTTCCAAACCTGGAACTCCGTTGCCTACTCCAGGAGTTTATATGAAACATATGAAACCTTTTTCACTCAATTCAACTGATAATTATGATAGATTGGAGTCCACAGACCAATCTGTTGATACTGGAGACAGGCAAAGGAGGGTTTCAAGGTTTCTCCGGCCGGACTTTTATGAAATACCCAAGGAAGATAGTATATATGCTAAAATGAAAGAGCTTGAGGAAGAGGATAAGAAGAAACCAAGGTTCCTTCGAGTTGTTCAATCTAGAAACCGAGAAAGTACTTCAGGACGATCCACTCCACTGGAGATGGGATCTTTCTCCGAGGATAGATCTAGATCAGACACCAGAACTCCAGTCCTCGACTATGGAGACTCATCCACTCCAATAAGCGAAGGTCAGTTTCTCAATAGAGCTTTAACACTTAAACGTCAAAGTTCCCTGAAAGAACCCTCTATCAGGCTTAGTGTTGCTAACCATATTGTCTCAGACTCTCCTTTTAACCCTGAAACCTCTAGTCTTGTACATTCTTCACCCGAAGCTGGATCTTCTCCTCTTGTAGAAAAATTACGGAGACAGATTCACCCTTATACAGGGGCGAAATCTGATGGTCAACTTCTTAACAAGCATGCTCATGTAACCTTAAATATAATTGCTGCTGCTGAGAGGAAGAAACGTCAATCTTTTTTCCAGCAGGAGGATTCACAATCTTCTCAAGATAAGGTGATGTCCCAGGATGTGTCCTTTTAGTGTGCTCTTTAACTTTCTTTTTCCACTACTAACATTAAATATTTTATTCCCTTTTTAGGAGGTGCCAGGACATCTTATCACAGACCTTTGATACATGAACACAACCAACACTCTAGAAAGAAACATTCAGTTGAAAATACAGATGCTGAGCAGGATGCTCTCCTAGCTGGTATTACCAAGCTTAGAAGACAAGGGTTAGAGCACTCCAACGAAGTGAGCGAGATTTCAGACGGATTCCGAACCCCTGAAGATACAGAGTCCATCACCTCAGATATATTCGGTGTTCCTGATTTTGTTGCTGAGGGAGAGGATTCATTCCGTGAGAGGTTGGGACGATCCCCCTACCTCTCCAGGATGGATGATTCAAGGGGAGCGGATAAGAAACTAACCCGGAGAAGTATCTCCAAAGAGTTGTTTGATGATCCCCCAACCAGATACACATCTGCCCGACCTGTAGCACGACGTAGTGTATCCAGAGAACTGTTTGATATGAAATATAATACTGGTAAAACATCTCCTTACACACTTTCTGATTACACAACACAAACCACAACCAGTCCAATATCCAGGAGAACCTCCAGATACTCTCGGGAGGAAACAAAAGATCCTGATATATCCGAAGATACTGGGGTTTCCTCTGGATACAGATCATCCTACCTAGATCCTGACAGGTCTAGATCCATCTCTCAGTCCAGGGGATCTGGATCCAGACCTGACTCCCTCCCGTCCCGACCCCTATTTTCATCTACAGGGAGATCAAATACACAAAATGAAATTTATCGAGGTTCTCCCTTGACCGTAGGACGGCACTCTGAGGACGAGAGCAGTCTAGGACGCTCCTATGGCGGGAGTTTGAAGGAGAGGAACCGCCAGGACTGGAGAAGGATTTCTGTACCGGAGAGAGGGAAGGATTTTAACAGTCTGCCAAGGAAGTACAACAGGTATTTCAGGTTTCGTTCTCAACTCTCTCCACAAATATAGATTCTTCTTTCTCTTTACATTTTTGAAACAATTATTTTTTTAGTTCTGTTTTTAGATGTATCATTTTAGCATCTTATTTTCTCTTTCTCTCTCTCTCTTTTGATCATATCATGATATAAATTTTATTCGTTAAATGTTTTGTTTCTAATCTATGATTTTAGGGATAGTAAGAGGACTTTCCTATGATCATTCCACTGATGATGGCAAGGTTCATGATTTATTTAAATCATTTATAAGATTAAATCCTCCAATCAGCTATCAGCCTCTAAAACGGACTTATATTACCTAAAACGCATCAACCTAATGATGAAAACCTTTGAGTTTTCTAACTTAGACTATTGATTTAGTAGAATTTATAGTTTTAAATATCAAAGGTCTGCAACATCAGGATGCAAAGATATAATGTTTAGACAATTTTAACATCAGGAGAATAATCTTTTTAGTTTTAAGCATTTAAACCAAAGGTAATGCCACAGACCACTTTATTCAAGCTAATTCTCAGGCTGATTTGGGGGATTTATCAACAGATATTTCAGGACGGATATCTATCTATATTATTTCCTTTTCTTTTATCTATGTAGAATGTGTATCTGTCTGTTTTGGTGGTTTCAACACATCTCAAAATAAATAAACCGATTTTGTATATTGATCTATTTATTTATCAGAAATGAGGAATATAAAAACGGGTCAAGGATATTCAAGCAAATAAAGAACATTTTTATTTTTTCATGGAATAGAAAATTAATTTACAATATTTTCTTTAATTCTTGACTTGAATAGTACTTGATTTTTAATATAGTTTATTCCTGCAGGTAGAAAAATCCTTGAATTTTACAGCGCTAGTCAGTTAGCATGAGACTCAGAAGATTTTGCCGTTTTACAATATATATTTAAACTGAAAATTTTCAAAAACTTGACAACTTTTATTTTTCAGAGGGGTGGGTGGGCATATTAAAAAACCAGCGCATTTACTATTTTTTAAAGATATATTTTCTGTAGCTTTTTAGTTTAGATATTTCTGATGTAAATTGGCTAAACCTATAAAATATATTTTTACGTTACGACAGGGTTACCCGTAAAGGATGAGACTGTAATGACGACCTTAATCTCTTTTTAAAGGTTGAATTAGGTTAGGAACCCAGCCCGGCGCCGCTCATAGTTACTCCCGCCGTTTACCCGCGCTTGGCCTTAAATTAAGATTTAAGCTATTTGTCCCTATATAAAAGTCGGTCCATTCAACTTAGAATCTCAAAACCAAACTAATAACATCAGCGTTGTTCTCCCGAGTTCCCCAACCAAAAGTTGAGGCAAACCGGTCAAGGGGTTTATGACTTATGATCAGACCTACTAACAAACTGGCAAACAGAGTTACTATACTTTATATACAGTTGGTTTGGCAAAGCAAGTAATAAGCTTATTAATAATACGAACAATTCTGTACAATTCTGTACTATTCTGTACAATTCTGTACAATTCTGTACAATTCTGTTCAGTTCTGTACAATTCTGTACAATTCTGTACAATTCTGTACAATTCTGTACAATACTGTACAATTCTTTAAAATTCTGTACAATTCTGTACAATACTGTACAATTCTTTAAAATTCTGTACAGTGTACAATCTCCTCTAAAGTCTCATCTTTTGTCGGTAACCCTGTACAGAAATGTTGAATGTAGTTGTTTATATTTTTATCTTTTAATCTTATACTCTCACATAATAAACATATATAGGAATATTATCTGTTTAACAATGTAACCCTGCATGCTAAAATACATCTAAAATTCATAATTAATCCATTAATTTACATACTTGGGACCAGATTTAATATATAGCAAAAGATTAGTTAAACCACGGAAAGAATAGAAGTGGTTTAACGAAATCTTCGAATGTTTGTCTTGCTATTCCTTAAAACTTGTCCCAAATAACCGAATTTTTTAACCAAAAAAAAGTTCATGATATTCAAATGATTTTAGAAGGGTATTTGAAATTAGGGCTCAGGATAAAAATATAGTTTAAAAACGGTTTTAGAATAACAGAATATGTAAAAAAGGTCTTCAGGATAACAGAATAGGTATAAAAGGGCTTCAGGATAACAGAATAGGTATAAAAGGGCTTCAGAACAATAAAATAGGTATAAAAGGGCTTCAGGATAACAGAATATGTATAAAAGGGCTTCAGAATAACAGAATAGGTATAAAAGGGCTTCAGGATAACAGAATAGGTATAAAAGGGCTTCAGAATAACAGAATAGGTATAAAAGGGCTTCAGGATAATAAAATAGGTATAAAAGGGCTTCAGGATAACAAAATAGGTATTAAAGGTCCTCAGGATAACAGAATAGGTATAAAAGGGCTTCAGAATAACAGAATAGGTATAAAAGAGCTTCAGGATAACAGAATAAGTTTACAGGGGGTTCAGGGGATAACATAATAAGTTGCATAGGTGTGCTCAAGTTCAATTTCAATAAACAATTTTATTTGCAAAAATAAATTCCTGATAAAACTAGATTTACTTCGAATAAATATTAAAAGAATAAAAAAAGATAAAAATAGATCTTTCTGTGCCAAAGTGTTATCTTTTCTATGCATTTTTATAAATATCAAAACATTTATTGGTTATGACTCATAAACAGTCGTTCTACAAAACTTTGATAATTTTATCATATCTTTTAATTTGACAGGAAAATGTAAACAAAATAGCCAAAACGATTAAAATTCATAAAATAAAAATTTAAAAATAAATGTAAAAAAGACCAAGTTTATTGAAATGCCTTGAATTTTAAATGAAACATATAACATTAAGTATAACAAGTATACTCACTGTACGTTAAAATTAAATGTACAACACGTTAAAATTAAACGTACTGTACGTTAAAATTAAACGTACAATACGTTAAAATTAAACGTACTGTACGTTAAAATTAAACGTACAATACGTTAAAATTAAACGTAGTGTACTTTAAAATTAAACGTACTGTACGTTAAAAGTAAACGTACTGTACTTTAAAATTAAACGTACTGTACGTTAAAATTAAAAGTACCGTCGCATAATTTCGGGTGATCCTCCATGCACAGATATCAATGTTCATAATTTTAAAAACTGATTATTTGTAACTGCTGTTTCTCTATAAAAATGACATACGCACATCTACTGCAGAAAACATAGAGGAATTATCAGAATTAAACACTTTTAAACCAAGAAAACGACAATATTGATGATCAGATTAAGGTTTCAAGGGTACTGTTGTGAATCGGGCATTACCATCTTTGTATTATGGGTCACTTGAAATTAAGCTTACAGTAAAGTGATGGTAAAGATGAACCCTGAATATAAACAGTAAATAAATAAAGCACACGTTATGCACTAACATCAAAAAGCTGAATATGTAGATACATAAATAACTTTATCTCCGCACACTGTAAGAAAACTTTTCTGATACATTTGTATAATTTATAGAAGCAAACGATCTAAAAGTGATGATAGAAATTTTTAAAAATGTCCGTTTGTTTTTGTTCTGCTTTGATTTTTTATATTTAATTTTTTTTAATGTTAAAAAATTGTTTCGAATATTTCATTTTTAGCCGATTTTCAACAATGAATTGCAGATTTTCGCACAATGACTATAGTGCTTGTGCGCGCACATCTTGATTTTATATTTGATTACATTTTTTATAATTGTATTGATTAACCTTTTTTTCAAGGTACAGCAGTATAGTAGAGAGAGGGTCTCCTTATCTAGGTTCAAAATCTGATCTATCCAGTATCTCTACCCTCCCTCCTCCCTCTCCCTCTGTTAGACGGAGTTCAACCCAGGATATCCTCGCAAACTCTCGTCTCCGTCGCTCCGGAACCTTCGATACGCACGACCTTTACAGAGACAGGACGGAGAGACAAAGAACTCCGTGTACACGAGATAGTACAACCTTCTCCAGAGAAGGGAGTGTTTATTCCCGGGAAACTCCCGCTCCCTCCCATCGGGAGAACTCCAGGTACTCTCCAAGAGACTCGGCATTTTCCAGAGATAATTCGGTGACCTCCGTACGTGAGATACCTAATTACACACGTGAGATACCTAATTACACACGTGAGATACCTAATTACACACGTGAGATACCAACCTACGCACAACGCACGGTTGGAAATTTCTCCGAGGAGCCGAGTTATACACGTGAGACTCCAAACTATTCAAGATACTCATCAATACTAGATGACAAGCATAACTGGGGGTTTAGCACACTTAGAAGACGACATTCAAGAAATGGTTTTCCTTAATATCCTATGTAATGTCCTAACCTGAATATTCAACTAAATATCCTTGATAATCCACTAAATGGCCTTAATAATCCACTAAATATTCTTAATAATCCACTAAATATCCTTTATATTCCAGTAAATATCCTTAATAATCCACTAAATATCCTTAATATTCCACTAAATATCCTTGATATTCCATTAAATATCCTTAATAATCCACTAAATATCCTAAATATTCCACTATATATCCTTTATATTCCACTAAATATCCTTGATATTCCACTAAATGTCCTTGATATTCCACTAAATATGTTTGATTATTCCTAAAAATATCCTTGATATTCCACTTAATATGTTTTATATTCCAATAAAAATCCTCGATTTCCTATAACATCCTTTTTATGTGACACAAGCCAGACATTTTTCAAATTTAACAAAAAATATTCGTCTGTTTATCCAATTCTTGTAATTCTTAATGTTGTAGGTTTTACTCTTTAATAATTCAAAAATATTATTTTACTTTAAAGAATGTAAAAATATCCATTTTAAGTCAGGTTGGCGTTTTTAAGTAAATTCTTAGTTTCTCACCTTTCTTTGGTTTTGTTAATTAATTTAGCTCCTTCTGATTAAATTACTTGATTCTAATATGTTGGTTGGGCTGTACTTACAAAAATACTTTATAGAAAAACAAATATTATCCAAGAAAATAAAGTCGAGAAATGTGAACTTATAAAGAAAATGTTTACAAAATGTTTTTAATGTGATTTTATTTATCTTACAATTTGTATGTTTAATTAATATATTATTGGAATTTATATATTTACTTAATGGGGAGTAACATGATAGCAATAAGTTGGAGGTAATCATGGAGTAGAAGAGAAAAGAAGTTTTGGGAGTAAACAGAGGGAGTAAAAAAGAAGTATGGAAGTATACAGATTAATGAAAAGTGTGATAAACAAATGGAGAAGACTAGGAAGGACAAGATAGGAGTAACTGAAGGTAGTAGAATAGAGAAGAAAAAACGAATCACGACAGTTGATAAATAGATTAGAATGTCTTCTTCCATATTTTCTTAAGTTGCTTAATACCAAAGACAATAATAAAAATATTATATGGGAGTCATATTATAGTAAAATTAAGTAAGAACAGGAAAAGGAGTGAACAGAGAGTTTAAATAAAAAATGACGCGGTAAACAAAAAAAACAGAAGGACTACACAAGAAAAAAATAGATAAGGAGCAAACAGAGTAAGAAGAAAAGAGAGGAAAAAACAGAAAATGGAGAAAAAAGGAGAAGTAGAAAAGAAAAGAAAAAACAAAAAGGGAGAAAACAGAGAGAGTAGAAAAGAAAAGAAAAAACAAAAATTCAGAAAACAAAGGAAGTAGAAAAGAAAAGAAAAAAGGGGAGAAAACAGAGGAAATAAAAAAGAAAAGGGAGTAAACACTAAACAGAAGTATGGTAGAATAGGAAAAAAAATATGTAGTAACAGAAATATATAACATAATGCAGGAGAGAGAAACACGAGTCAATACGGCCGAACCATGGTTTATATGAAAAAAGGATCAAAGTAAAGACTTTACAGAGTGCGTAGAAAGTATAAAACTATGAAAAGAGTGGTAGGATTACTCTGCACCTACTCTGCACCGTGAGTAAATATGAAGTGGTAGGATTACTCTGCACCTACTCTGCACCCTGAGTAAATATGGAGTGGTAGCATTACTCATGCACCTACTCTGCACCGTAAGTAAATCATGAGTCGGATTAGCGTCCCATCTTATCAACCCAACTTTATCCAGGAGAATACAAAGGATTTATTCAATTAAAGGTTTAAAGAGTGAACATATCTCATCATTAAGTTAATTGGAGAACTGGGAAGAAGGAGGAGAAGGAGGAAAAGAAGGAGAAGTGGGAAGAAGGAGGAGAAGGGGGAGTATAAGATACAATGAAAAGACAAAGGAAGACAATAATAGTGCTTGAACAAGGAATAGTAGGGGAAGGAAAAAAGAGAAAAAGGAGAAAAAGTAAAAAAGAAACATAAGAGAATAAGCAGAATAGATGAAGGAAAAGAACTCATGAAATCATAATTAAAACAGAATATGAGGAAAAGCAGGACGAAAACTAGAGTAAATGGGACGGGGAGAAAGATTAGAGAAGATATTAAAAGATTGGGAAGCACAGAATTAAGAAAAAAAGAAATATTAACTAAAATGTTTTAGAAGTTTTCCTTCTTGTTTGCTCAGTTTGCTTCGTGTTTTGTCTTATCTTTTATGTTCTAAAGCAATTAATCATTCGAGTGATAAGAATTGTTTATCAAGTCTTAGTGCTTCCAGGCCAACCTAGAGCAGTTTCTAACTGAACCTCATCATGTCAGGTAACGAACCCTTAGTAAAGACAAGGCTTCCCTTATTAACCTCAAGGAATTCTAAATCTTAAATTATATTTTGAAAAATCTAAAATTGAAGACGATATTTCAGCCTGGGATTGGTCGTCTTCCTCCTCCTCGTCTTCCTCTGATGACGAATGGGAGACTGAGCACAAAAATGGTAAGGGAAGCCTTTCTAGCTTTTATTTAAAAAATTCAAAATATTTTTTAAAACGTAATATAATAATAAATTATCATTTCAGCTCCGAGATACAAGCGTGGAGGCAAGTGGGTTCGGACCTCAGGGGTAAATATTATGATTTTTTTGTTATATATATATATACATAGTTATAAATCTTAAATTCATATTTTAAAGGACGACATTCCTCCTCGTGCAATGGAGGCCGGACATGATAATGAAGGCCGACCTCTTTATGTTGGTCGAGCACGTCACGAGGGAGGTCTATTCCCAGGTAAACCCTGTTAGGATAGTATATGCAACGGTTAATGCCTTGTTTACCGCGCTAATCCGCCATCTTAAGTCTTCTGCGCTAATCTACCATTTTCGGTTTGCCGGGCTAATCTACCATTTTTGGTTTACCAGGCTAATCTACCATTTTCGGTTTACAGCGCTAATCTACCATTTTCGGTTTACCGCGCTAATCTACCATTTTCGGTTTACCGTGCTAACCTACCATTTTCGGTTTACCGCTCTAATCTACCATTTTCGGTTTACCGCGCTAATCTACCATTTTCGGTTTACCGCCGTAATCTTCCATTACTGAACTGCAATTTGTAATTTTCAGGTGTATTTTTGTCTTTCTCAAATGATGTCCATGTCTTTCTAAGAAAAACTTCCTAATTTTCCAGTAATTTTTGTTGCTAACTACTTGTGTTGTCTGAATCTCGCTGTATTTTCCCTGTTATCATAATTTCTTATTAATCACGTTTTATGAATCTCTTTGTAGCAATATATTTAGGAAAAGTTAACCCTCGTCATAACTGCTGTTATATACCCTGGGGTGGAGAGGAGCACTCTAAGGAAGAATATGATGTAAGTTTTAGGGAATTAATTTTTGACGGATCCCCGTTTATTTTAAAAACCTTGTTTAGATCTTGGTTTCTCATAGAAACTGTATTTAACCTTGTCTAGATCATGGTTGCACCTAGAAACTGTATGTAATCTTGTCTAGATCCTGGTTTCTCCTAGAAACTGTATACTACCTTGTCTAGATCCTGGTTTCTCCTAGAAACTGTATTTATCCTTGTCCAGATCCTGGTTGCTTCTAGAAACTGTATTTAACCTTGTCTAGATCCTGGTTTCTCCTAGAAACTATATTTAACCTTGTCTAGATCCTGGTTTCTCCTAGAAACTGTATGTAACCTTGTCTAGATCCTGGTTGCTCCAAGAAACTGTATTTAATCTTGTCTAGATCCTGGTTTCTCCTAGAAACTGTATTTAACCTTGTCTAGATCCTGGTTGCTCCTAGAAACTGTGACCTGACATGGGTTGATGCCTCTAACGGGCATATTCCAACCGGAGCTGTCCAGGGTGGGTTCAATGAGAACAACGACCCCCTCTACATTGGCAGAGCTCATATTGAAGATTCATTCGCAGTTGGAAAGGTTTGATTTTTAATAATATATACTTATAATATATTTCCATATTCAAATTCACATTTTCATTTGACTAAGAACTAAACTATATCATTATTCAGGCTTTACCAGCAATATATATAAAGTACTATATATAGATATTAATTAATATATGATACTGCTACAGTCTATAACAAAATTTTGTATACTCTTGTATAGCTTTAAAATTAGAAGAAGTGTCCATACCTATCCTTATTTTCAAACTGATAAATGTTAAAACAACACAATTTAAGAAAACTTTATATCAAGACGACTCACATAATGAATTATGAAGAAGAATGAATTATGAAACGCGGCATTGAAATTAATATTGCGGAAACTCCGAACCACACCCTCGTTGTTATTAAATATCTGATTGTTCTGTTAATCCTAACTTTTCCCTATATTAAGGTGAACCCTGAGCATGGTTGCTGCTATGTTGCATACGGAGGGGCAGAGCATGCCAAGGAGCACTATCAGGTATAACAATATACTCAAATGAGTTAAAGTCGTCTTTATTTTGCGGGTTTTTGACTAAAACAACTTTCTCTCTTACAGATTTACACGTGTCTCATTGCTAAAAAGTTTTAAGGCTTCGTCATCGAGAGACCAGTTAATTTGGCGCATTTCAACATTTAAAAATCTGATGAATTCAACTTAAAAACTGAAAAGTCTCAGTTCTTCAATGGATTTAAAGTTATGAGCTTAATCATATTCCATTTATAATTTCCCACCTCAGATAAAACTATATTTTTTTTTAAAATCTAAGACTAACAGAATTAAAAACCTTTCACTTATACTTGAGGTTGAACCAGTAGAGAAACTTCGATTGAAGTTGAACATATTCATAAATTTCCAATGGTTTACTTCTCCAGGTACTGGTGATTGACAGGATGCGTCTGAAACACTAAACGAGGGACTGGCATAACTCAAGATTTAAACCCTGAGAAGAAGACGGCTAATTTATAAAATTAAGTATTTTCCTCTCTAAATTCTATTGTTATTAAATGTTATTAAATGTCAAGGAAAAATTTGAAATTTCTATTTGAATTGTTTTAAAATTGTTTCTGAAAACCCGTCGTTGCTGTTCTGAGATTCTAAGTATCCTTTATGAAACTAAGAATATCATGTTAAATATAAAATCTTGAAGTTAAACATTTTCATGATAGCTAGATAAAGAGAGAGATAGTATAACATTATATATTTTTTTCAAAATACTCACAATGGATTAAAAACAAAACTAAGTCTATCTCACCTAGCAAAACGCTCAAAAATTTTAGAAATAATTTCCATTGCGTTTCTGCCTAATGCAGCTATAAAAATCATTACTTATTAAGTTCATTGAAAGCTGTCATGCTGAGTAAAAAGTAATTTTAGCAAAAAACATGTGTTTCTCATAATTGAGGTTTAAAACACTATTCGTACTATACACACACAGACATAACATAAAGGAATTGAGTCTTTGCCACAAACTCATTGCTATAATTCCTTTATCTTTAAAACTTAATGGTATAAACCTTTGATATTTCAAACTTAGATAATTTGTTCAATTAGAATTTATAGTTTGAAAGATCTCAGGTCTACGACATTGGGCTGGAAAAATATAGTGATTTAAAAATCAGAGTTTGCGGCAAATGCTTCATTCATTTCTATTCCAACACTCTGCTTTATATATGAGATTAACTCTGATTGTATACATGTTGTAATATATGCATATAGTTGGTATTGAATGGTGTGAATTCCAAAGTTTGCAGGGTTGGATAGAAGATGAAACTCCGGGTTTAAATTAGAATAGACTAAGCTTGAAAAGGAAACTTAAGAGATTGCAAATCATCAAACCTAGTTTAGTTTTTTTCAAAAGAGATGTATTTTAAAAAATATTCAAATATTTTTAAAAAGTTTTGTAATTGACAATGATTGTCATTCTGTAATTTCCGTTGTATGTCAATACCTTCATGGCCTCATTTCATTAAAGTTTGCATGGACTTGGATCAACTTCAGTTTGAGTTAAAGGGAGTGTTGGCTTGGTACTATTTTCATTTCGAAATTTGACAGGGAATTTCAAAATGGCGAATAAAAACTGAAAACTGGGAGTTTTCAAAATCTCAAGATTGATAAAATTAATCATTAATTAAAATTGCATTGTTGATTCTCATTATTCACCCTTTCTTAATTTGAGTACATTCCCATTAAGTTTGGCCTAGATAGAGCATGGCCTGGTATTGTCTCAAGGTAGAATTGATCCAACACAATAAAAGTAAAGTTGCAGAAACTCAAAGTAAAGTTTTCCTGATTTATACATTTACATAAAGTATGGAAGCCACTAAAAAAACAGAAATCAGAACTGATAAATTTCGGAATCAAACACCGATCTCCATCTTATGCAGATTTTAATTTCTCTTTGATACCCATGTTGGTCATATTCTTCAGGGATAATTCTACTTGAGAAATTAAGCTTTGATCCTCAAATTCAAATAGGCCCACATTGGATAACGAGATCAAGCCTTCAATATTATGAATATCCACACAATATTTCCGATCTTAGAACTTACAAAACAAAACAAAGACATCTTTGTAAACATGGAGTGCCCTCAAGCTCCGACAGCGGAGGACTGAGATTATAAAAAAACATGTAAATAATTATAATAATGTAAAATACTTTAAGCTCTGTTTAAAGGAAGGGACCGATAAGGAGGGTTTGTTAAAGTGCAACCTCACATTTCCACAAAGTTTTTATTGTGTCGAGTCTCAAAAGGACCTGGTGACATGATTTGTTTAAAATTAAAATAAAATTTGTTTCAACAATACTGCGTTTTCACCTCAATATCCACCATTTCTAGTCCTTTTCAAGTGTAAAAAAACGTTTCTTTAAAACTGGTTGGAAAAAAGATTTGTGCTAATCATAATTTTATTAATTTAGATTATTCATAAATATTTTTTTCCTTTGGATTTGTTCACTATTTTAAAAGTATTTTATAGTATTCAAGATTAGTTTTTATTTTCTCCTTTTGGTTTTTACAAAATTAAGATTGGTAAATATTTAAGTAGCAATAAAAAACAGAAAATAAGGATAAAATAATTAATAAATGGTTGAAGAATAATAAAATGTTGTATTTGTTCCGAAAATTCAATTGTTTTTACAAGAAACATGACATTTCTACAGAACTGCCAAATAGTCAGACAAAACTGAGTAAAAACTGACTTTTCTTAATTAAAGGTTGATTAAACAAAGAAAAAGTTTTAATGAATGTTTTATTAAGTTTTCAGTCTATACACTACAGCCCTGAATTAACTTTCATAACACTTTAATTTTGGTTGGCAGTGTTATGAACAAAGATAATAGAATATATATTAGAGGGGAATTTACTAGAAAAAAGTGTAAAACGGCCATTTTGTTGTACTGTTTCCATACTGCAGGTATACTTCACATATTTACGCTATATTACCTTTTCGGGCCCTGGAATATCATTTTATAGAAAATCTAAAATTAATGTTAAAAGAAAACCAAATTATGAAATAAGCTGGTTTCATAATTGACCAATGATCATTTCACATAGACTCTATGCCTTTCACTTTACAAACGATGATTTTCCGTTATAACTATAAATCAAATGATGGTTTTTATTCACCTAATTCATTATAAAGTTTATTTAACAGCTTTAAAAATTTCGAAATTGAAATGAACTACCTTTCAGGCTGAAAGGGACTGAAAAAATTCATACCGAAAGATTCTTTAAATTTCTCTCTAATATATATTCTATTCTCTATGGTTATAAAGTTTTTGGGCAGCAATTTTCCCTTTATCTAGAAGGTTCAAGCCTTGCAAATATAAATCTAAAAAGTTGAGAACCTTCGAGATAAAAAGAAAAGGAAATGAGTCTTTGAAACAAACTCTGATTTTCTAATCCTTACATTGTCCCAACCAAATGTCGTAGACCTTAGATATTTCAAACTATGAATTCTGTTAGATCAAATGATCAAAGTTAGAAATATCAAATGTTTACAAAATCAGGTCGCTTATATATTGGGATTCGAAAATTTAAGTTTGTGGCGAAAACCCAATTCCTTTAAGTCCGAAAACTTTATAGCACGTCGTGCTAAAATAATAGTGTTAAAGGTAATTTTTTGAAACATTTGTGTACTTGTCTTTTTTCAATATTTCTATAGATCAAATAAGCTTTAAAACAAAGCAGAAGTAAAAAAATAAAGTTCATTTCAATTTTATGTTTATTTCAATTGAAAAAAATTATTTTGGAAATATCCTAGATTTTTGGAGAAAATCCGGGAACCAATAAAAACTTTATAGCATACGTGCTATAATGTACAGCTAATTTACTTTATAGCACGATGATTACTTTACAGCACGTTTATTATGAAATTCACGATGAAGTGAGTAGGAATGATAAAGTACACAATAGTTTCATAAAAATATAAACTTTAGCGTTTTTTTTGTAAAATTGTTTCTTTTTAACATTTTAGTAAACATTTAGTCAATAATTATGTCTATTTTAGCTCAAAGCTAAACCATAACCTTAAAATAAAATCTGTTTTCTTTCTTTAAATTTTATTTATCTAAACATTTAATTTTCAGTTTCCTGTGTAGTTTTAGTTCCGTCAGCGGAGTTAGCATTTCTGAGAACATTACCGTAGAGTCCTGTACCATAGCCGTTATAACCGTTAATGTATCCGCCTCCATAGCCGTTGTTAAATCCCCCTCCATAGCCGTTGTTGAATCCGCCTCCATAGCCGTTGTTGATTCCGCCTCCATAGCCGTTGTTGTAACCTCCGCCTCCATAGCCGTTGTTGAATCCGCCGTTGTTACCATAACCGCCTCCTAACCCGTTGTTAAATCCGCCGTTATTAAAACCGCCGTTGTTGAAACCGCCATTATTGTATCCGCCTCCGTAACCACTGTTGTAACCGCTGTTATATCCGCTGTTAGGTCTGTGATGCCTGTAACAGAAGAGAAATTGTTCCCACAAAAATATATTTAAAATGTTTAAATTTATCTTCACTCTATGGATGGGTGTAAACATTATATAATATAAAATTTAAAAGTTTTAAAGTGCAATTTAAAACCAAAATGAACAAGTTTTACAGCAGATAAACATATAAATCATTCTAAAACTTGATACATAATTTTAAAATCAGCAGTGGATAAAATCAAAGAACAATAGAAATGAGAGAGAAAAAAGTTTTTTTTCTGTAACTTAAATGGCGTAAACCGTTCACATTCAAACTCAGATTATTTTATTTAGCGGTAATCATAGTTTTAAATAGCAAAGGTCTATGAAAGTTGCAAAGATATAGGGAATAGAAAATCGGAGTTTGGGGCAAAGACTGAAAAGGAAAAAAATGAGATGTTGTGATACCACTGGTCATAAAACAGTGTTGATTTAATAAAGGAACTAAATACTCGCTACAAATTGTAACAAAGGAATTGAGTCTTTGCCACAAACATTGATTTTCTAATCCCTATATCTTTGCAATACAATGTCGTAGACCTTAGATATTTCAAACTATAAATTCTGAACGATAAAATTATCTAAGATTAAAATTTCAAATGTTACATGATTAAAAAATTTGAGTTTGTAGCGTAGACTCAATTCCTTTAATGAGATAGCTCTGATAGATAGATACCTGGTATTGACTGAATTATCTGTATCTTGTCTCCGAACCCTATATTGAACTGAACCAGCTGTAACTACTGACAGACAACACATGGCAACAGCTCCCACAAAGAACATCTGAAAATTAAATCGATTTTTATTTCAAAATGATATTTTAAACTATGAATTTTGCTAAATCTAAAAGTCTGAGTTTAAAATTGCAAAGATATAGGGATTAGAAAATTACAGTTTGTTGCCAGTATTAAATTCTTTTATTAAAACTGGGAAGACTACTTACTATCCCCGTCTTTGAAAATATTATTTGATATTATGTCTAATATGTCTAATATGTTTATTATGTCTCATATCTCTATTATGTCTATTTGGTATAATGTCTAATATGTCTATTATGTCTATTATGTCAATTTGATATTATGTCTAATATGTCTATTATGTCTATCTGATTTATGTCTAATATGTATATTTGATATTATGTCTAATATGTCTATTATGTCTATTTGATTTATGTCTAATATGTATATTTGATATTATGTCTAATATGTCTATTATGTCTATTATGTCTTTTTGATATTATGTCTATGTTCTAGATTTAACTTTACTTAAACAGATTAGAAAATATTTTATGCATATTTTGGAATACATAAGAAAGGTTATAACAAATGGGATATTTTCATTTGTGAAATTGTTTGGTAGTGGTCCTCAGTAAAAAAATTTAAAGTACTCACCAAGTTGATACTGCTAGTTCTCATCCTTAATCTGTTTTTACTTCTCTCCCTGTTGGTTTGTGTGTTGCTAACTCTTCTTTAGATATAACCATGCACTAATCCAGGCCAATTTATATATACGCTCGTTTCAGGGTTTCCAAGTAATATTCGGCAAATAGATAACACAAATTAAATTTGGTCACGTGAATTAAACATTAAAAAAAACATTGATATTTTACCAATAAAAGAAAATTTATTCATAAAAAAATTTCGAAATTTAAACATTTATTAGCATCGTGAAAACCTGTGTCTGCTGCGCTAGAAACCCCGCACGGGCTGGGAAACCTTCCATAGTAGGGGAAACCAAAGTGGGAAACCTTGCATAGTAGGGGAAACCAAAAAGGGAAACCTTGCAAACGGGGGAAACCAAAAGAGAAAAAGGCGGGGGAAAATATAAAACAAAAGGGGAAATCCGGAGAGATGGGAAACCCAAGGCGATTTTGCGAAAATCTTTATCTTAAGATTGAAACAAAAAATGTTAAATCCAAAGAAGAGGGTAGTCTGACTCACTACCACACTCAACTAAGTTTTCTGTTTGTTCTGCAGTGATTTGCTTGAAATTACGCATGTAACAGTTCCTATAAAAGAACCCAAATTAACTGAAAAAGAGCCAAAAATGTAACTAAGAAACAAAAAGATGCCAAGAAAAAAGATGAAACTAAAAGAGAACCAAAAGGAATAAAAGAGAAGAAAATTGAACAAAAAAAAGCAAGAAAAAGGAAATCAAATCTAGTTCTTGGTCTAGGACGAAAAGTAGAAAGGAAACCCGAAAAAGATTGCTGAAAAAAAGAATTAAAAAAAGATTCCACTAGACGATATGGAAAATAAGGGATAAAATTGATTTAGTTTAAAGAGACCTAATTTCAAATGAACCTCCATGCAAAGATGGCTATACCCAGTTTACCACAGTTACCATTAAAAAGAATTCGATATCCATGTTTTTGCTTATTAAAATTATTTATTTTTATTTGTGGTTTCTCTGCAAAGGTGACTTAGGCATTAAGAGCTTACAAGAAAAAACATAGAGAAATTCCCAGAAATAAACACTTTTCGAGTTAGAAAAACGACGGTATCCTCCTCATTTTTTTTACCAGATTAAAGTTTCAAGGATAGTGTGAAGTGTTACGTAAAACTACGATTACCGCCCTTTTTAAACAACTCTAGAATTCATTATAAAAAGTATCTTGTCCTGAGTCTAAAACTAAAGAATGCGCGAATTTTAAGTTCGAGGTTAAAAGTTCTGTAAAATAATGAATAGCTACCTAAATATTAAACTTTCTCAATATTAAATTTGAATTTCCCGGGAAAAATCTGAACCAATCAGAGAAAAGGATTTACGGAGAATACTACATAACCATCGCTAATCAGCTGTTCTTACGTAACCGAAAACAAAACATACAACCGTTTTTTTGGGTTTACATCCAAAACGCAGTGGCGCCCATAAGGGGGGTTATTGGGGTTATTTACCCCCCCCCCTAGAATCCTGGGGGTAAATACCCCCCCTAGAATCCTGGGGGTATATACCCCTCCCTAGAATTCTAGGGGACCCCTGAACATATGTTCAGGCCCTGAATAGCAGGGGTTACTCCATTTGCTGCCTCTACAAGTAACAGTTCCAGTTGCCTTCACCCCTTCCCTTCAAAAAAAAAATACATTCCCTATTGATTAGTCTGCACTTGTGTAAAGACGACTATTTTCATGATAGTAAAAGTTTTTGCGGCATTTTGCAGATGCCTATAAACAGTCTGTAAACCTTTACTTCGGTTACTTCAGTAAAGTTCACCCACACACAACTGGACCTGGTTATAATAAAAAATATATATATTATTAAATTTAAGTCAAAACTTTTCGTTCTTTAGTTTTAGACTCTGTTTTATGTTTTATGATGAAAAGTTTAAAGAAAAACCTTGAACAAATTTGAGGAAATGTTTCACGAAATAATAATTCTTTAGACAAACAACAAGGGCAGAAAAACAGACTTTGCAGACTGCAGAATACAACTTGACAAAACTTCCAATCTTCATATTTTACAATAAACTTGAGAATTAGAGGACGACTTTAGTGGTATAAGGTTTAGTTACATATCATGGTTGTTCATATTAATAGAAGTTTTTTTTATCAAATAGATAAAATAAAGATAAATATTTTCGATTGACATTCTTTTTTTCCAATATTTGTATTACATTTCAGTAATCTAAACATAAAATGTTGAGCGTGTATCAAGCAAGTAATACAGTAGTATGTAAGCATGCAGAAGTAGTAAAGTAGTATGTAAGCATGTAGAAGTAGTAAAGTAGTATGTAAGTATGTAGAATCAGTAAAGTAGTATGTAAGCATGCAGAAGTAGTAAAGTAGTATGTAAGCATGCAGAAGTAGTAAAGTAGTATGTAAGCATGCAGAAGTAGTAAAGTAGTATGTAAGCATGCAGAAGTAGTAAATTAGAATGTAAGCATGTAGAAGTAGTAAAGTAGAATGTAAGCATGTAGAAGTAGTAAAGTAGTATGTAAGCATGCAGAAGTAGTAAAGTAGTATATAAGCATTCAAAAGTAGTAAAGTAGTATGTAAGCATGCAGAAGTAGTAAAATAGAATGTAAGCATGTAGAAGTAGTAAAGTAGTATGTAAGCCTAATGTATCAGTGAAGAATTTAAGCATGTAAAAATATTAAAGCATTTTATAAAATTAAAGACAGACAGGGGAAAGGAGCTTGTTAGCACATATCTAGATAATAAAATAGCAATAGGCACTTATCATATTTCATATATTTATTCAACTACAAAGCATGAGATATTACAAATAAGCAATCACAATTTACTAGGCAGTTTGGACCCGCCTAACCAGGGTTGGTTGTTTTAAGTGGTTGGCCCGAACCTAATTAACGATACTGAATATTATTGGTTACACATATCAAGATATGTTTTTGGATAGGTAAGGAGTTGATTGGAAGGAAGGAGATTGTCAGGTGATCTGTGGCAGGGTGAGATCAGAGGGATTGTTATGCAGAGATAAATTAAAATGCAGGGTGTTAATGATGGTAGTTACAGAAACAGAAATAAGCTATTAAAGTTTCAGTTATTTTAGTTTTTTCATATAAAATTTATTCACACGATATACAGCTAGGTTTTTCGCAATTAAACCTCTCATACAGTGGCGTACATAGGGGGGGGCAGTAGTCCTCTTGCCCCCCCTGGAAGTTCCAGGGGGGGCCCTGCCCCCCTGGACAATACAAAATTAAAAGGAAATAAATTTAAAAAGTAACACCTGACAATGACAAAGACTAAGGAATTGTCTAAATTCACTGTTAACACAAATTTTTAGGATACTTTAAACTAAAACTTTTGCAAAACGAGACCTCGACATATTAGATGCTTATAACATGATGGAAGATGTAATAAAGGTATTCTATTTTCTATTTGGAACCTGATGTTGTAAACCTTTGATATTTCAAATTCAGAATATTTGATATAACAGAATTCATAGTTTGAAATATCTAAGGTCTACAACATTTGGTTCCAAAGATATAGTGATTAGAAAATCAGAGCTTGTGGCAAGGACTCAATTCCTTTATTTCCATAAAGAGATATTAAGCGTAATTTCAAGTTCCCCTTTATGCAATTATGACAATAACATTGAATGAAGGAAAGAGAAGTTTTAGCCTTCTAAAGAGAATACTTCATTACACAATTGATGTACTATGACGGAGAGCAGATTAACGATCTTGCACTTATGGCTCACTACTGAGAAAATCATTGAGATGTTTGTGCAAGCAAATCACAGAAAATTGAAGCTTAAGAGTTGGTGAAAATGTAGATGGAGTAAATTCTATCTAAAAATTTCAGAAGAAATTTCGTTTATAAGTGAAAATATGATTTTTTAATGATGCTGTGATTCTTGATTTAGTTAGCTGTGATGGAGTTAAGTGATAAATTTATAAATTTATAAAGTTAAAAAGTTAGAGTTAGTTTTTCGAGCTAAGGAATAATTTTTAGACTTTATAAAGTTAGTAACACCCAAAAATGTAGTCTTTTTGATGTATTTTTAAGGTGTTAATTGACTTTTTGAACAAAACAATTCCAGGGGGGGGCAAAATAAAATTTTTCGCGCTACGCGCGAAATCTTGCCCCCCCTGGCTAAAATCCTGTGTACGCGCCTGCTCTCATAATTCTCAAGATAATTATTGATTACTCTTTGCTTAAATATTTTTGCAGATTTAGTTTCAAGGTCAATTTCAATTTGATTCCACAATTTAGGAAACATTGAGGACTTAAAGCTCTCTAAATTTTGTTTAAAACCCGTTCTAATTTATATGATTTTGTTCTATTCGTTTCAGCTTAAGACTTAAACATATTTTGGAAGGAAGAGGGAAGGTTATCATTAAAGTATCCATGCATAAATGTCAGAACACAAAGTTGGTATGTATCATCAAGATTAAGAACTTTTAGTTTTGAAAATAATGGATTTGAATGTGCCTTGAAAGTACTATTATTATCCAGGCAGTAAAATAGCATTAGGCACTTATCCAGGCAGTAAAGTAGCATTAAGCACTTATCCAGGCAGTAAAATAGCATTAGGCACTTATACGGGCAGTAAAGTACCATTAGGCCCTTATCTAGGCAGTAATGTATAAATAGGCATTTATCTAGGCAGTGAGGTAGCATTAGGCACTTATCTCGGTTCTGTCAATATTCCAGAAATCTGTGACTTTCAATCACAATTTGACCAATTAAACATAATTTTGTACATGCTTTTGTTCCGGCATACACGTTTTCAATGAAAAGTTTTAAACACACAAATCCGTAAGTTTAAACATTGTTTAACTATAGACCAAAACGCATATGACTTTAAATCGAAGAAACCGAACGCCTCTCACTCTGGATAGTCCGGGGTGATCTAGACCATAAAGTATCCTTAAGCACTTATCTAGGCAGTAAAGTTGCATTAGGCCCTTATCTATGCAGTAAAGTAGCATTAGGCACTTATCTAGGCAGTAAAGTAGCATTAGGCACTTATCTATGCAGTAAAGTAGTATCAGGCACTTATATAGGCAGTAAAGTAGTATTAGGCACTTATATAGGCAGTAAAGTAGTATTAGGCACTTATCTAGGCAGCAAAGTAGTATTAGGCCCTTATCTATGCAGTAAAGTAGTATCAGGCACTTATATAGGCAGTAAAGTAGTATTAGGCACATATCTAGGCAGTAAAGTAGTATTAGGCACATATCTAGGCAGTAAAGTAGTATTAGGCCCTTATCTAGGCAGTAAAGTAGTATCAGGCACTTATATAGGCAGTAAAGTAGTATCAGGCACTTATATAGGCAGTAAAGTAGCATTAGGCCCTTATCTAGGCAGTAAAAAGTAGTAAAAAGTAAAAAATTATTCATTTATAAAATATAACAAAAACATACAAAATAAAGTGTTTCAGGAGAAAATATTTAAAAACCTCTAAAGTAGAGGTTGTGGGAATATTTCCCCCCCAATTCTAAAATATATATATATATAAAATGGATATATGGATATATGGATATTTGGATATATAGATATAGGGATATATAGATATATGGAAAATAAGGATATATGGATAGATGGATAGATAGATAAATAGAGACAAGAATAGATAGATATATAAATTTGGAGATAGATAGATAGAAAGCTGGATAGACCCTGCTAAACTTCTTCAGATTAAACTCTAAGACTGCCAAAGTTGATGAAAAATCTGAAAGTTCAGCCAAAATTTTAATTTTAGAATTTTCTTGTTTACATTTGGCTTAACATCTCCCCGTATCATCTCCCCATTCTCCCCCCTTTTTCTCCCTCTTTTTCCCCCTTCTCCCCACCCCTTCTGCCTCCTTCCAAACCATACCTCTCCCCCCCACCCACATAACATTCCTCCTTACTACCCCTCCACATAATTAGGATGAGGATGCGAAAGTATGAGGATGAGGATGAGGATGAGGATGAGGATGAGGATGAGGATGAGGATGAGGATGAGGATTATCTCACCTTCTGAAGGCTCTGATTTGTCCCAATGACACTAACAATACGTTCAAGGAAGGATCCGTCGGTAATATTTATCCTTGCACTGCTCTGAGGAGAAAAATATCAATAATTTATAATAAAATATATTTGACATAAAAGTAAGATTTAATAGGAATTGATTATGAAATTTTATGAAATTATTATGATAGGTTTGTAAAATGTATGGTATTATGCTTGGACTCTTATCGTAATTTGTCAGTGTCCCTCCACAAAATCATGGCAATGCCAGATTTACAACGGTACCCTTAAATCTTTGCCATATCATGATCAAGTATGTATTATAGATATCATGATGTTTATATTTTAAATACTGAATATTTTCAATTGTGACTTGAGCATTTCTGCTGCAGGAAATCAGGAATTATCAGAATTCAACACTTTAAAACCTTTAAAAACGACAACATGAACCACATTATTGATCAGATAAAGGTTTCACGGGAACCAGTCTGAATCGGTCATTTTCATATTTAATAGTAAAAATATTGTTTTTGACATTGATCCAATTTTAAAAATTCAATTTTATCAAACGTTTTTAACAAGTCTAAAGTTCAAATCTGAAATTTAAAGTTGCGAATGAATCTACGTTTGGTAAATGGAACTTAGAGGTCACTTTAAATTTTGTTAGCAATCCCTTCATCTTAATTTTACCTGTTCTCGAATCCGTTTAACTATCTCCCCTTTCTTCCCAATAATACTTCCAACTTCCTAGAGTGAAATTAATTAATTCCAGATATCTAATAGAATACACCAGAAATTATCTCTGGTAAATATAAATACAGTGAGATCCAGAAAACCCTGGAATAGGAAAACGAAATTTAGATTCAACTTTAAGTGAACCTGATACACAGCAATTGTGCAGTGTAAACACAGCCATTCCACTTAATATGGGTTTAAAAAGTAATTAGTAAAACTTTGCTTTTTAACAACATAAAAACACTAATTTATTGGTTTAATATCGTCTTCTTATTCCACAATTTTCTGGTTCTAACTGTTTATACATTTATATACATATACACATATATTTATATCTAAATACAAAGTTATAAATCAGAGATATTACAGATAGTGTAATCCACATTCTATTTTAAACCATTTTTTTTTTTATCGTGCCTTGAAGGTTTTTCAACTCATTGTGTTAATTTAAGTTTTAATATTAAACTTTATTCTATCGACAACTGTATTCCTAAGCCTAAATTGCATGTTTCATTTGCTTGCATGACACCTGAAATTGGTCAGCAATAAACTAAATAGAATTTGAAGAGCAACGTCAGGACAACTTTATTTAATTCTCAATACACGCGAAATAGTACTATTACTAGAATACATATGTTCCTTTACATTCTATAGTTGGGGGATATGTGAAAATGTGGAGGGGGGGGGAGGGGAGTATTAAGAGAAAGAGGGAAGGGGGGTCTATTGTGTTCTCAATACATTTAATACATGGACAAATAGCTAATTTACATTAATAAGAAAGAATGTAAAATGTATATCAAGTCAGAGCGGGGGAGGTAAAGTGTTTTAAAGAATGTGGTCTAATGTATTTAAAACACAATTTTATTCTAAAATACCGGAAACACAAGACATATGTTATTTTAAAGCAGGGTGTCCCAGAAGATCCCCTGACGTTGGGTTAGATGTCTACAATAAGAAATATTGGCACGATAGACACTTTATTTTGCAGAAGGAATTTATCAGATTATACACTCAGGAAATTAAATGTAAGCTGTAAAAATGATTCTTTGTCTGTCAGACCTTACATCAATCCATCTTATAGTTATAGTGGCTGCACAGTTTTACTCGCCACACCAGAAATTGTATTTATTGTGGAACACCCTGTACTTATAGATAGATAGATACTTGGTTTAGATTGCCAAATTTTAGCAGATCAGAGAACAAGCAGGGCTCAGCAGAGATGCAAAAAGCTAATTTGCAGGAATTTTTTAAATTTGCGAGAATTAGATTTTTACAGCTCTGCTGAAAGTGGGTTGCACCGAATAGGCATGCAAGGGTTTACCCGGGTAGTATAGGTGACGAAGAGGATGAGGGAGGGCTGGAAGGGTTGAAAGGGGTGATGTATGGGTCGGAGGGAGTGCTGAAAGGGTTGGAGGGAGGGCTGGAGGGGTTGAAAGGAGTGATGGAGGGGTCAGAGGGAGTGTGGGAAGGGTTGGAGGTTGTGCTTGAAGGGTTGGAGGGAGTGCTTGAAGGGTTGGAGGGAGTGCTGGAGGCGACAGCATGAGAGCTGGAGACGTTGGAGTGAGATCTTGAGACGTTAGAGTTAGGCATTGAGGTTTTAATGTTGGCGGCAGTGGAGAAATCAATGACTTTTTTAGACATTCTTGAAGCTCTTGATATTTTTGCTAATTTGAAAATTAATCTGACGTTGATGAAGATACTTTTGATATTATAGGAGATGAATTTGCTTGTGAGAAAGCTGGTTCTCAGCTGCAATAGGATGTTTAGTTGGATTCACAATAAGGTTAGAAGGATAGGAGGGTTCAAGAGACACTGTGGTATATCAACACTATTTTGAACTTTTTTTGAAAAAAAGTTTGGAACTGTTTTACATCCTTTCTCGAAGAAAGACTCGTTTGGATAGGTTTAATAAAACTAGCTATCTCCAGTAGGGTTGCTGACAAGTAGGTTTAATAAAACTATCTCCAGTAGGGTTGTTGATAAGTAGGTTTAATAAAACTATCTCCAGTAGAGTTGCTGACAAGTAGGTTTAATAAAACCGTCTCCAGTAGGGTTGCTGACAAGTAGGTTTAATAAAACTATCTCCAGTAGGGTTGCTGACAAGTAGGTTTAATAACACCGTCTCCAGTAGGGTTGCTGACAAGTAGGTTTAATAAAACTATCTCGAGTAGGGTTGCTGACAAGTAGGTTTAATAAAACCGTCTCCAGTAGGGTTGTTGATAAGTAGGTTTAATAAAACTATCTCCAGTAGGGTTGCTGATAAGTAGGTTTAATAAAACTATCTCCAGTAGGGTTGTTGATAAGTAGGTTTAATAAAACTATCTCCAGTAGGGTTGCTGACAAGTAGGTTTAATAAAACAATCTCCAGTAGGGTTGCTGACAAGTAGGTTTAATAAAACCGTCTCCAGTAGGGTTGTTGATAAGTAGGTTTAATAAAACTATCTCCAGTAGGGTTGCTGACGAGTAGGTTTAATAAAACTATCTCCAGTAATATTGTTGACGAGTGACTTTGGTTGATTTGGAGTAGATCAGACACACATGGGGTAGATGAATGATTGGTTGGGTTAGGAGGGGTCCAGTTGGTTTTGGTTGATTTTGTGTCTCTTGGGGTAGGTTGGGGGTGAATCTGTAATAATATTTTAGTGTTTCAAAAATAAAGCTGATTCTTAAACATATCGTTTTTTATGTAAGAAGGACATTTTAAGTTAGAATTTATATTTTTGATAATAATAAATGTGTTGTGTCAGGAGAAAAACAAGCTTCCATCTTTATAATTATTTGTTCTTCTTCAAAACTTTAAGCTTTAAGCCTTTTGTTTTTAACAGAACAAACCTCTAGGAAGGAATACTTTATAAAAATTTTATTTTGAAGAAAAAATTAATTTTCTTCTTTTATCTTTTCGTTCCTTTATGTTAGAGCCCTTTGAGTCCTGGCGGGCTGGCGGCCCCTATATATGAACTTTGAGTTAATTAGTAAAGTTGGAGGGCTTACGTTAGTATATAGACAATATTTAAACAGGGAGAATATATATAGTCAGAAATATTTATACATATACTAACCTTAAAGGGAGTGTTCACAAAAAAAGAATCAAATCAAATTCGATCGTGATCGCTACTAAATTTACGCCTCTCTATAAGGAGAAAAAGGGTTAAAAACGACTCATACCGAAGAATGTAAAACCTACAATTTACGGTGTACTTTAAACGACGATTATTTTGGCCGCCAGGTGTCTCTCCCACGTGGAACCCCTCTAATGTTGAGTGCAGAGACGCATAGCGGCAAAATAATCGGTTTGAAGTAAATCGTGTACAAAAAAGATATTATGAAACATCAACTATATATGAATGCATCGAATTATATTCGACAATTTTAGGTTATAATATCTAAATGACTAGTTTTAAAGGGAGAGTTACTTCTATCTGTTGCGTCTATAAGGAGAAAATTGTTAAAAAAGGCTAATATCGAAGAACGTAGTGTCCATACAAATTCAGAAATATGCAACATTCAACTCGGATACTAAACAAATCAATTTAATTCCAAACAAATCATTCAGATATTACGAACAATAGTCATTTTTTTACTTTTCGACACATTCGTAAATAGTTGATATTTCATAATATTTTGTAGTTTTCATGATCTGAGAGTTACTTTTGAAAACCTTTATTCCTGTTTCGAGGATTTTTTATAATGAAGACGACATTTTCATATTTTCCAGGAATGTTCGAAAATCCAGTGCCAGCGAAAATTGTTAAAAAAAAATCAAAAATATTATGAAATATTAACTCTATACGAATGCGTCGAAAAATAATGGATGACTACTGTTTGTGATATCTGAATGATTTGTTTGGAATTAATCAACTCCTTACCTATCGAAAAACATATCTTGATATGTGTAACCAATTATATTCAGTATCGTTAATTAACTTCGGGCCAACCATTCAAAACAACCAATTCTGTTTAGTTGGGTCCAAACTTCATAGTAAATTGTGATTGCTTATTTGTAATATCTCATGCTTTGTAGTTGAATAAATATATATATGAAATTGAATTGTTTACGATCCGAGCTGAATATTGCCTCTTTCTGAATTTGTATGGACGCTGCGTTCTTCGGTGTGAGTCGTTTTTAACAATTTTCTCCTTATAGACGCAACAGATATTAGTAAGATTAGTAGCGATCAAAAGCGCTTTTTATCGTATAAGCCTATACCCCCTTTCATTTTTCGCGAACACTCCCTTTAAATTTAATTGAATTATTTACAATCTGAGTGAAATGATGCAATTTCGTGAATGTGTATGGGTCATGGGTCCTAGGTTCTTCTGTATGAGTCGTTTTTGAATTCTTCTGATGGACGTAACACAATTTTGGACCCGCTTGGTTCAACGTTTTGACGTTTATTGGATACAAACAAACAGACATATGCGCAAGCCAAATACAAATGGGGTAGAAAAACAATAACAAATTCTATATTTTTCCAAACTCTCTAAAATATTGATTTAAGAAAAAGTTGAAACTATCTATCTACCACACTATCTATCTACCAGACTATCTATCTACTAAACTCTGGATCTATCCAACTACATACTACCACACTATTTATTTACCAAACTACCTATTCCGTATCTACCAAACTACAGATCTACCACATTATTCATCTACCAAACTATAACCTATCTACCAACCTACCTATATACCAAACTACCTATATAACAAACTACCTTTCTACTAAAGAATCTATCTACCAAACTACCTACAACCCAACTACCTTTCTACAAAAGTATCAATCTACCAAACTAACTATCTACCAAACTACCTATCTACCAAAATACAAAAAAAACTATAGTGCCAAAGTCCTGTTGTTGTGTATGTCTGGATGACGGATGAAAATATTCTACTAGAAATTTTTTAATGCAAAATATCCCTTTTTTGAATAAGTTTTTTATGTAGAATTCACTAAACATTTGTTTATGCTATGTCAATTGCTTTTTTATTTTCAAATTTTGACGATGTAGAC